CACGGACATCATTCCAAATATGTGCACCAGCCTTAACCGCCTCACGAATGACTCCGGGCTGTGAGGTATCTATTGAAATAATGACATCCAATTTGGCTAATTCAGCAACCACAGGAACAACACGACGTATTTCTTCGGCAATCTCGACTACAGATGCACCCGGGCGTGTAGATTCACCGCCAACATCAATCACTGTCGCACCATCAGCAATCATTTGCTTGGCATAAGCAACAGCTTGATCTTTTTGATCATGCTTCCCACCATCGCTAAATGAATCAGGAGTGACATTCAAGATACCCATGACATGTGCTTGTGATAAATCCAGACTTAAACGCCCACATTGCAAAATTTGCTTGGGTAGTGGCATCAGTTGCATGTCAATTCTCCGTATTCAATTCAGGCTAGTTTAACAATTCAAATCAATAGCACAGTGATTTTTTTTCATCTGTGAATTTTTTCGTATAAAAAAAGAGCCTCAATTGAGGCTCTTGTTTATTCACTGACTGATCAGGTCGCTGGTAATGGTGGTGGTGTTGATGGACCATCTGTAGGTGTTACATCAAGCACTGGATTTTCAGCAACATAAACCTTAGGTGGCTGAGGATCACGACCTTCCATGATGTCACGGATTTGATCACGATCAATCGTTTCCCATTCCATCAAGGCTTTTACCATTGCATGTGCAATATCTTTGTTATTTTCAAGAATATCACGCGCAACACGATACTGTTCATCCAAGATACGACGTACTTCTTGGTCAACCTGTTGTTGTGTTGCTTCAGAAATCGTACGGCTACCGACATTTCCGAAGAAACCATTCTGGTTTTCATCTTCATAGACCATCACGCCCATTTTGTCTGACATACCATACTTGGTCACCATCGCACGTGCCATTTTGGTTGCACGTTCAAAGTCGTTAGACGCACCCGTTGACATTTGATCAATGAAAACTTCTTCTGCAATACGACCACCGAATAAGATTGAAAGTTCATTCAACATCTTAGACTTGTAATGGCTGGTTTGATCATGTTCTGGCAACTGCCAAGTTACACCCAAAGCCCAACCACGTGGCATAATTGTTACTTTATGCACAGGGTCAGTCCCTGGAAGAATTTCTGCAACAATGGCATGACCTGCTTCATGATATGCAGTCGCGCGACGTTCTTCTTCACGGATCACCATCGACTTACGTTCAGGGCCCATGTAGATCTTATCTTTTGCATCTTCAAAGTCATGCATATCGACGGTGTTCTTGTTACGACGAGCAGCAAACAATGCAGCTTCATTCACAAGATTCGCCAATTGCGCACCAGAGAAACCAGGTGTACCACGTGCCAATACTTTAAGATCAACACCTGTTACCGAAGGAAGTTTCTTCAAATGCACTGCTAAGATCTGTTCACGACCTTTAATATCTGGCAGACCCACCATCACTTGACGGTCGAAACGCCCCGGACGAAGTAATGCTTTATCCAGTACATCCGCACGGTTTGTTGCAGCAATGACAATAATCCCTTCATTACCTTCGAAACCATCCATTTCAACAAGCATTTGGTTGAGTGTTTGTTCACGTTCATCATGACCACCACCTGTACCTGAACCACGATGACGACCAACTGCATCAATCTCATCAATAAAGATGATACATGGTGCATGGCGTTTCGCCTGTTCGAACATGTCACGCACACGAGATGCACCAACACCAACGAACATTTCAACGAAGTCAGAACCTGAAATACTAAAGAATGGAACTTTGGCTTCACCAGCAATCGCTTTCGCAAGTAAAGTTTTACCTGTACCTGGAGGACCAACCATCAATACGCCTTTAGGAATTGTTGCACCTAAGCGTTTGAATTTTGCAGGGTCTTTCAAGAAATCAACGATTTCCACAACTTCTTGTTTTGCTTCATCACAACCAGCAACATCGGTAAAGGTCACTTTGATTTGGTCTTCTGAAAGCATTTTTGCTTTAGATTTACCAAAACTCATTGGACCATTTTTACCGCCTGCACCACCACCCATGTTACGCATAAAGAACATGAACAATAAAATAATTAAAAGCACAGGAAAGCTTGCGATGAGAAGTTGCATCAATAAACCTTGACGTTGAGGTGCAGTACCTTCAACAACAACGTTATTTTTGATGAGTGTAGGCATCAATTCAGGATCTTGAACTGCTGGGCGAATACTTTCAAAGTTCGAACCGTTCTTTTTTTCGCCGCTTATTCTTTCACCATCAATTGTGACTTTACTAATTTGACCAGCATTCACCGCTGTGACGAATTCTGAATAATTCATCGCAGAAGGCTTACTGCGGTCACTGAGATTGCTGAAGATTAAGATCAGCACACCCAGTATGACCAGCCACAATACGGCATTTTTGAAGTAATCGCTCAAAGCTTTATTCCCATATATAACTATTTTGATCAGGCTCAATCTTGCTTGATCGTAACAAAAAGCGAGTAATGAATTTCGCAATAAAGGTTAAAAAGGTACAAAATGCACAATTTTTAACAACTTGGCAAGCATTTGTTGGCAATTCATTACGAAGAATGAACATACCTCAAAAACACCGCCTATTGCGAAACTTTTTTACGGCCCTGTCCAATTAAAAAAACTTCTTTTGAACGTGCACGTGAAGCAGCTGGTTTTGCTGTTTTTAACACATCAAAACTATCCACGACTTGCTTTCGGAACTCATCAAAACCAGTTCCTTGGAAAACTTTAACTAAAAACTGCCCTTTTGGTCCAAGAACCTTGTTGGCAAAATCTAACGCAAGTTCACACAAGTAAATCTGGCGAGGTTGATCTACAGCCCTATTACCTGATGTATTGGGGGCCATATCTGAAATTACAACGTCTACAGTGCGTCCATTTAAAATATTTAACAATTTTTCGAAAACTTCTTCTTCTCTAAAGTCACCTTGTAAGAAGGTAACATCAGGTAAAGCATCCATTTCTAAAATATCTGAAGCAATCACTAAACCTTTATCACCGACCAGTTTACCTGCGATTTGCGACCAACTTCCTGGTGCAGCACCCAAGTCAACCACGGTCATCCCTGGTTTAATCATTTTGTGTTTTTCTTGAATTTCAAGAAGTTTATATGCAGCACGAGCGCGGTAACCTTCTTTTTGTGCTTTTTTCACAAAAGGGTCATCTAAATGCTCTCTCATCCACGCACGACTACTTTTGGATAACTTCTGGTTGGTAATGCGTGTAGCCATAACTCTCTTGATCTAAACCGATAACTAACTTCTGATTGTACGTGAAAAAAATTCTCATTGCAGTATTCATATTGATTTAAATCGACAGATATTGATATGTTTTTTTGAATAAGCTTCATCGATTATTTCTACAGAATTTACAGCGTAGTGATATGGCTTTTGTTATACTAAGTCGTTTCTAAAATTAGGTTATCTTTTATGGCGGCTCTATCTATCCAAGAACGTAAACGTTTACGTCAAATCGGACATGCGTTAAACCCTGTTGTAATGCTTGGCGATAAAGGCTTGACTGAAAGTGTCGTTGAAGAATTAAACCGTGCTTTAAATGATCACGAGTTAATTAAAGTCAAGGTTACAGGTGAAGACCGCGAAGCACGTGCTGCAACGATTACTGAAATTGCCAATGTCACTGGTGCGGAAGTTGTTCAAACAATTGGTAAAATTGCATTGCTTTATAAAAAAGCTGCGAAACAAAATCCAAAATTGTCTAATTTAGTTCGCCACGCTCATCTTTCAAATTAAGATTTATTTTCATGGCAAGTTTCGAACTGAATGCATTTGATCGTCGTTTTCAAAGTATCTCCCTAGTTGGTGCGATTGAACAAATTAGCCCATATACACTCAATGTCGGTTATTGGTTAAGAGATCCCAATCAATTCATAATTTATCCTGAACTGGTTACAGCAAATCCACGTCAGGATTTCCTTTGGGAAAATACCTGTTTTGAGATTTTTATTGGTGTGCAAGGTGAAGATTATTATCGTGAAATTAATCTATCCCCTTCTCAAGCTTGGCAAGCTTACCAATTTGAAGAATATCGTTATCCTGAAAATATGCCGCCAGTCGCTGCTTATGACATTGAATTAAATCAGTTAAAGCGTACGCATTATGGATTAAATGTCAGCATAGATCTTAGCGAGTTCATGCTTGCCAATAAATTAAAATGGTCAGACTTATTTTTAGGTTTAAGCGCTGTTTTAAATACCACGCAAGGTCAACATTTCTTTGCCATGCAACACAGTGGCCAACAGGCCGACTTTCACAATAAACGTGATTGGTTACATACATTTTAAAATACGCTTATGTAAACTGTGATTGAAAATAAAAAAGTGAGGCAAGTAGCCTCACTTTTTTATTGCCATTTTTCTTAGAAATGGCTTTCCTCAAAACATAAGCTTTACATATCTTATTGTTTTGTTGTTACTTTATTCCAAACTTCTAAAGTATGATCTTTTGAACGCTTTAAAGTTTCAGTTAACTGTACTTTATGTTTGCTCGAAATTTGTGAAACATCTTCACGAATTTCTTTACCAACTTCAGTTAACTCTTTCACTAAAATGCTTAATTCAGATTTTAAGAAATCAGCCAATTCAACCAAATCTTTTTGTGAAGTTGAAAATTGTGATTTGATCACATCAAGACGTTGCACCAAATCTTGTTTAAAGTTTTGTACTTGATCTTGAACTTGCTCAGTTAATTGCTCTGATTCTGCTTCAAGTTTAGTTTTAGTTTCGGTAACCGCTTCAGCAACTTTCTGCTGCGCTTCTTTACCTAACTTCTCTAAATTTTCAGTAGTTTCAGTCACAACTTCTTTCAAAGCCGCAGTCTCTTTTGTTACTTTATTTGTAACAGTTTCTTTAGATATAGTCATATTGATTCCCCCTGGAATGTGAGTCAATAAGATACATTGAAAGGATAAATTTTAGATTTTGATTTGTCTGACAATATTTAAATACTTACAATTTCAAACAATTCACTTAGAAAGCAGAATTAATGCTAAATAGCAAGGTATTTATCTTAGATTATCGCTCGAAATAAAATAGACTTTCGAGAGGCTCATGCGTATAATGCGCTGTTAAGTTACAAGCGAGCAGACAAGAGGAGGGTAGGATTTAGTAAGCCTTCCTTTTTTTTCGTCTACTCGCTTTTTTACAGCCCTATTTTTGTGGTTTTAGTTCAGGAGCTATGGTTTGAGCACCCCCGCCATTTTAGCCCTTGCTGACGGTACTGTTTTTAAAGGTACATCGATCGGCGCTACGGGAAGTACGACTGGTGAAGTCGTTTTTAACACTGCCATGACTGGTTATCAAGAAATTTTGACCGACCCTAGTTATGCACAGCAACTTGTAACTTTAACTTATCCTCATATCGGTAATACTGGTTGTAATGAAGAAGATGCTGAATCAGGTCGAATTCATAAAGTTTGGGCGAATGGTTTAATCATTCGTGACCTACCGTTATTACACAGCAATTTCCGAGCTACTCAGTCTCTTGGCGAATATTTACAACAACATAATGTCGTTGCCATTGCAGATATCGATACTCGTAAATTGACACGTATTTTACGTGACAAAGGCGCACAAAACGGATGCATTCTTGCCGGCGATAATATTACTGAAGAAGAAGCTATTGCAAAAGCACGTGCCTTTGGTGGTCTAGATGGTTTAGACCTTGCGAAAGAATGTTGTGACCCAGAAGGTTTTGAATGGACCGAAGGCTCATGGACATTGGGCCAAGGCTTTTCTCAACCAGAAGTAAAATTTCATGTTGTTGCATACGATTACGGTGTCAAAACCAACATCTTACGTATGCTTGCAGACCGTGGGTGTAAATTAACTGTTGTTCCTGCACAAACATCTGCTGAAAAAGTATTGGCGTTAAATCCAGATGGCGTATTTTTGTCAAATGGACCTGGCGATCCAGCAGCATGTGATTATGCAATTGCAGCAGTAAAAACCATTGTTGAAACAACAAACCTACCTGTTTTCGGTATTTGTTTGGGTCATCAAATTCTAGCTTTAGCTTCTGGCGCTAGAACTGTGAAAATGCCACATGGTCACCACGGTGCAAACCATCCTGTACAGAACCTTGAAAATGGTACAGTGATGATTACTTCTCAAAACCATGGCTTCGCAGTAGACGCAGAAACCTTACCTGCAAACCTCAAAGCTACGCATAAATCTTTGTTCGATCAAACCTTACAAGGTATTCATCGTACAGATAAACCTGCGTTTAGCTTCCAAGGTCACCCTGAAGCAAGCCCTGGTCCACATGACTGTGCCCCATTGTTCGATCATTTCATCGAACTTATTGAAGCATCTAAGAAGTAATTAAGGAAGCGATCATGGCTAAACGTACAGACATTAAAAGCATCTTAATTATTGGTGCGGGTCCGATTGTCATCGGGCAAGCATGTGAGTTCGATTACTCAGGTGCGCAAGCATGTAAAGCCCTTCGTGAAGAAGGCTACCGTGTTATTTTGGTGAACTCTAACCCAGCCACCATTATGACTGACCCGACTATGGCAGATGCAACGTATATCGAACCGATTACGTGGCAAACTGTTGCACAAATCATTGAGAAAGAACGCCCAGATGCGGTTCTTCCAACAATGGGTGGTCAAACGGCATTAAACTGTGCATTGGCACTTGATGCCAACGGTATTTTAGAAAAATACAATGTTGAATTGATTGGTGCGACCAAAGAAGCCATCGAAAAAGCGGAAGATCGCAAACTTTTCGATATCGCAATGCGCAAAATTGGTTTGGAATGTCCGCGTGCTGATGTTGCAGAAACAATGGAACATGCACTTGAAATTCAAGCGCGTTTCGGTTTCCCTGTGATTATCCGTCCATCATTTACAATGGGTGGTTCAGGCGGTGGTATCGCCTATAACAAAGAAGAATTCATTGAAATCTGTGAACGCGGTTTTGATCTTTCTCCAACCAAACAATTATTGATTGATGAATCATTAATTGGCTGGAAAGAATATGAAATGGAAGTTGTTCGTGACAAAAACGACAACTGTATCATTGTATGTACCATTGAAAACTTCGATCCAATGGGTGTGCATACAGGTGACTCCATTACTGTTGCACCTGCACAAACTCTGACAGATAAAGAGTTCCAATTACTGCGTAATGCTTCTTTAGCAGTGCTACGTGAAATTGGTGTAGAGACAGGCGGATCAAACGTTCAGTTCGGTATCAACCCGAAAGATGGCCGTATGGTTGTGATCGAGATGAACCCTCGTGTATCTCGTTCTTCTGCGCTTGCGTCTAAAGCAACAGGTTTCCCTATTGCCAAAATTGCAGCAAAACTTGCAGTGGGTTATACCCTTGATGAGTTGAAAAATGACATCACTGGCGGTACAACGCCTGCGTCATTTGAACCTGCAATCGACTATGTTGTAACCAAGATTCCTCGTTTTAACTTCGAGAAATTCCCACAAGCTGATGCAACACTCACTACACAGATGAAATCTGTGGGTGAAGTCATGGCAATTGGTCGTAACTTCCAAGAATCTGTACAAAAGGCACTTCGTGGTCTTGAAGTCGGTGCTTGTGGTTTCGATGAGAAAATTGCGGTGGGTACTGAAGGCGCGAAAGATAAAATCTTGGTAGAGCTTAAAGTGCCAGGTCCTGAGCGTATTTGGTATGTTGCTGACGCATTCCGTCATGGCTTCACATTAGATGAAGTATTTGCTGCAACCAATATCGATCGTTGGTTCTTGATTCAAATCCAAGACATCATTCAGTCTGAAGAGCAAATCAAAACTTTAGGTTTTGGTGATTTGAACGCTGACAATATCCGTGCATTTAAACGTAAAGGTTTATCTGATTTACGTATTGCAGACTTGATGGGCATTTCGCAAAAGCAATTCCGTAAGCACCGTTGGAACTTGGGTGTATACCCTGTTTACAAACGTGTAGATACCTGTGCAGCTGAGTTCGAGTCAGATACTGCTTACATGTATTCAACTTATGATGACGAATGTGAAGCGAATCCATCTAACCGTGACAAGATCATGGTAATCGGTGGTGGCCCTAACCGTATTGGTCAAGGGATTGAGTTCGATTATTGCTGCGTTCACGCTGCCCTTGCAATGCGTGAAGATGGTTATGAAACCATTATGGTCAACTGTAACCCTGAAACGGTTTCAACTGACTATGACACATCTGATCGTTTGTACTTCGAGCCGATCACTTTAGAAGATGTTTTAGAAATCGTACGTACAGAAAAACCAAAAGGTATTATCGTACAGTACGGCGGTCAAACACCTTTGAAATTGGCTCGTGCTTTAGAAGAAGCAGGTGCACCAATTATCGGTACGTCTCCAGATGCGATTGACCGTGCAGAAGATCGTGAACGTTTCCAACAGATGATTCAACGTTTGAATCTTCGTCAACCAAGCAACAGCATTGTTAAATCTGCTGAAGAAGGTATGGCTGAAGCATCTAAAGTGGGTTATCCGTTGGTTGTACGTCCATCTTATGTCCTTGGTGGTCGTGCGATGGAAATCGTATACAACGACGACGAACTTAAACGTTACTTGCGTGATGCTGTACAAGCGTCTAACGAAGCACCTGTACTGCTTGACCATTTCCTTGATGATGCAACAGAAGTCGATGTTGACTGTGTATCTGACGGTAAAGATGTGGTGATCGGCGGTATTATGCAGCATATTGAACAAGCAGGTATTCACTCTGGTGACTCAGCATGTTCGATTCCACCTTACTCTCTTTCTCAAGAGATTCAGGATGAAATGCGTCGTCAAACCGTTGCTATGGCGAAAGAGCTTGGTGTGATTGGCTTGATGAACGTACAGTTTGCTGTTAAAGGTAATGACGTTTATATTCTTGAAGTGAATCCACGTGCGTCTCGTACAGTACCGTTCGTTTCTAAATGTATCGGCGAATCATTAGCAAAAGTTGCAGCACGTTGTATGGCGGGTCAATCTTTAGAATCTCAAGGATTCACAAAAGAAATTATCCCAACGCATTTTGCTGTGAAAGAAGCAGTATTCCCGTTCAACAAATTCCCAGGTGTAGACCCGATCCTTGGACCAGAAATGAAATCTACTGGTGAAGTGATGGGTGTTGGTACAACTTTTGGTGAAGCTTTCTATAAAGCTGTGTTAGGCTCTAATGATCGCTTACCGGGTAAACCAACTGAAGGTGAAGTGAAGCACGTATTTATTTCAGTACGTCATTCAGATAAACCTCGTGCCGCGGGTATTGCGAAACAATTGGTTGATTTAGGCTTCAAAATTATCGCAACTGGCGGTACTTATGATGTCATTAAAGAAGCTGGTATTGAATGTGAACGTGTGAATAAAGTAACAGAAGGTCGCCCAAATATTGTCGACCGCTTGAAAAATGGCGAGATTCACCTCATTATCAATACTACAGAAGGTAAACAAGCTCAGCAGGATTCATTCTCAATCCGTCGCTCTGCGCTTCAAGGTAAAGTGTATTACACAACAACCTTGAATGGTGCTGATGCTGTATGCCAAGCTTTAGCAATTAAATTGCCAATGGATGTATATCGCTTGCAAGATTTGCAAACACTAGGTTAATTCGTTTCCGATAAGTCCCGCCATCTTATCGGTGGCGGGCTTTTTTCATTTTATAAACCTGTATTTTTAAAATACTGAACTGAGGGACAACAATGCAACGTTATCCTATGACTCCTGAAGGCAAGGTCGCCTTAGAGAAAGAATTGCAACAGCTAAAATCTGTTGATCGTCCACGTATTATTGCTGCAATTGCAGAAGCACGTGAACATGGGGATTTAAAAGAAAACGCAGAATACCATGCAGCGCGCGAGCAACAAGGTTTTTGTGAAGGTCGTATTCAAGACATCGAAGGTAAACTTGGTGCTTGCCAAGTAATTGATGTTAAAGGGCTTGAACAAACTGGTCGTGTGGTTTTTGGTGTGACAGTAACCATTGAGAATTTGGATACTGAAGAAAAGAAAACCTATAAAATTGTAGGTGATGATGAAGCTGACTTTAAGATCAATAAGATCTCAGTGAACTCACCTATTGCGCGTGGTCTTCTTGGTAAGAATGAAGGCGACGAAGCCAAAATCACCACACCACAGGGTGAAGTGGAATATGAAGTGGTGAGTGTGGAATACATCTAATTCACCTGAGTGAATTGCCACAGAACTCTTCATAAATTGAAGAGTTCTTTTGTTTCAAGCATATGATTTATAAATAGAATAAAAATAAATTCAGTAATTAAAGCTCTCCCCCTCTTATTTAAAAACGTATTAAACAACCATTGATCATAAAAACGAAATTTAAGTTAAGAATCATTTGATAATGCTATTGATTATAATTATCATTAACAAAAATAAACATTATGCATATTTAATAGGTATTCCCTTATGCAGCAAGTTGTACGATTCACAAAGCATCCACTCTCCCTTGCCTTACACTTGATGCTAAGAGGTACTAAAATTGCCTTACCCGTATTATTACTCTCGGGGCAAGTTGCTCAGGTCATGGCTGAACCAATTGCATCAAGTCATAACGATGTCATAAATGAACAAGTAGAAAAAAGCACCTTACCTACCATTACCGTGATCGCCAATGACGATAAATCGACCTCCTATATAACAAAAAAAGTAGCAATCGGAAAAACACCACAATCCCTAAAAGAAACACCGCAGTCAGTTTCAGTAGTTACTCGTCAACGTCTAGATGACCAAAATATTTCCACCATTGATAATGCTATGAAATATGTCACTGGCATCACTGTTGCACGCTATGATGCAGCAGGAAATTACAATGATTTTTATGCCCGTGGTTATGGCAGTGATACCTACCAAATGGATGGCACAACCTTAAGAACCGATTCTAATGGGACTTATCTAGATCTGTCTGTATTTGACCGTATCGAAGTATTACGCGGCGCTTCTGGTATGTTCAGTGGCGCAGGTGAACCAGGGGTTTCTATTAACTTAGTGCGAAAACGGGCGCTGGCTGATTTTGCTTTAACAGGTAAAGTAAGTGCAGGTTCATGGGAAAATTATCGTGGCGAGGCTGATATTACAGGGAAGCTCACTCAAGACGGCGCATTACGTGGCAGATTGGTCACTGCAGTACAAGACTACGATACCTTTATGAATGGGATTGATGGTAATAAAAAACTCGTCTACAGCACATTGGAATATGACATTCAGGACAATACCACGCTTTCCCTAGGTGCAACATATCAAGATATTAATACCGTATTGTCACGTGGTTTACCGTATGGTCCTGATGGAAAGCTACTGAATATTTCACGCAAAACCAGCTTTGTACAGGACTGGAATAAGCAGGACTTGACCAATACAGAATTATTTGCAGAACTGGAACACCATCTCAACAATGATGGACTGATTAAAGCCACTGTTCGTCAAAGCATACGTGACAATCATGCTAAATATAGCGACCCATCTCAGCCAGATGCCAATGGAGACATGTCCAAATTTAGCGCACTGGCATTTAAGCGACAAGATAAAGACTTAAGTGCAGACATATTTTTCAATACCCCTTTCCTGTTTGCTGGACAGACCCATAATTTCCTGATCGGGGCAGATTACCTGAAAGGTCATTCCAAAACCAATTATTCATCTTGGGGAACACCTCTCACAGGTACCATCAATATTTATCATGACAACCAACATCAGTTCGCTGAACCTGATTTTGACTACGATACCAATGTGAGCAAAGATAAAATAGAAAACTATGGTATTTATAGTCAACTCAGAATCAAACCCTTTGAGCATTGGACACTGGTCGGAGGTGGTCGTGTCAGCTGGTGGAAATCGATATCAACCACCTTGCGTGATAATGGTGTAGATAGCACCAATCCTGCAGCTAAATATGATGCAAAAGCAGAGTTTACCCCTTATGCCGCAGTGCTTTTCGACCTAAATCCGAATCTATCTTTCTACACTAGCTATTCGGAAATCTTTAAACCGCAAAATAACTTTACTTATGATCCTGTGACAGGTGGTAAAGGTAAACAAATTGATCCACGTACAGGCGCTCAAATTGAAGCTGGGATGAAAGCGGCTTTCTTCGATGAGCGTTTAAACCTTTCTTCGGCTATCTATCAAATCGAAGATAAAAACCGTGCAATAACCGATCTTTCCGCGCCTGAAGGATATTCCGTAGCAGCAGGTAAAGCGCGTAGCCGTGGTTTTGAGATCGAAGCGAATGGGCAGATTACCGATAATTGGCAAATTACAACGGGCTATAGTTTTAATCAAAACAAATACTTAGAGGAACCGGATCTAGAAAATCAACCTGTTAGTACATTCACGCCGAAGCATACTTTTAATTTATGGACCACCTATAAGCTGCCTGCATCTTTAGTCGAGGGTGTAAATGTTGGGCTTGGGGTACGAGCAGTGAGTAGTTACTACGATGGCTCTGGTGCAGAACGTGTGCAACAAAATGGTTATACTTTGGCTTCTGCAAGTCTAGGCTATCAAATCAACCCACGTTATAAGTTTGCAATTAATGTGGATAACCTATTTGATAAAAAATATTATGAGAAGGTTAACTATTGGATTCGTCAGAATATGTATGGTTCACCACGTAGTGTGACTGCCAGTTTAAGCTTTAAATATTAATTGCTTTAGAAATAGACTCAACCAAGGTGAAGAGGAATACGACGTGGTCAATGTTGAATATATTTAACACATACTAGGGCTGATGATTCAGCCCTTTTTATTGGGCTAAAAATATAATATGAATAACAAAAAACTCGTAACTTTATATTCAATCATCATTAATTAACTAAGAAAAACTGACTCAAATATTTTTTTCAAAAACTCAAGATATATAGTCAAACCACCTCATTATTAATACAAGTGAAGGGTGACTATAGATAAAAAAATTTAAAAACAGTCAGATCAGAATAACCCTGCATTCACCTAGAAAATAACACTGATCGCATATCCATTTAATCAACATCAAGCATCATCCATACATCGCTCAGATCTTGCGCCAAGCTAAATAAGATGCCTCAGCCATATAGATACCAAGAAAACTAGCAATTATCACCAACTGTTCAAAGTAAATTGCCATTGTTAAATATTTTCTATGCATTACATTGAGGAAAAATTAAAATTCATTGAGGACGAGGATGAAAGCAGGACGAGCAAGTAAAACTGCTGAAGCGGCAGCAGCAATTAGGGCCAATCACCATTTAAATGCCAACGATCCAGTATTCTCTGACCCTTATGCATTTGAAATGACCAATTCACAATGGCGCTTACTTTTAAATAACGCCCTTCTACGTAAAGCGTTAAATTCCAATTTGATGAATCAAACTTTTGGTAAATTAACTGGACAAGTGGTTGGACGTTCTCGCTATACAGAAGATCTTTTAAAGCAAGCGATTGAACATGATCATATTCAACAGTATGTATTGGTTGGCGCTGGTCTAGACTCTTTTGTATTACGCTTGGCCCAGCAATACCCTCAACTCAAAATATTTGAAATTGATCATCCTGATACACAAAAAACCAAATTAGAAAAATTAAAAAAGCTCAGTAATACAGGTGAGCTCCCAAGCAATGTGGAATTTGTAGGGATTGATTTTGAAAAAGAAAAACTGTCTGATGCTTTGGTACGTAGTGGATTTCAAAACACCCAAGCCGCATTTTTTTCATGGCTGGGCACAACCCATTATTTAACCCCACAAGCAACCTTAGCAACCTTACAAAACATTGCATCCTTTACTGGAAAAAGTAGCCAAGTCGTGATGGATTATTCGATTGATTATAGAGCCTTACAAGGTATTGAGCGTTTGGGTAGCTTCGCAGTGTCACAGTTTACCCGTTTCTTAAAAGAGCCTTTGATTGGTGCGTTTGCTTCGCAAGCATTGCATCATGCAGTTGAAATGATGGGTTATCAGGTGGTTGAAGATTTATCAGGAAAAGACATTACCCATCGTTACTTTAACCATCGTGCTGATCATATTCGTCATACCCATGCCACGCATTTGATCCATTTAAAAATAGGTTAATACTTAAATACCAGCCAAGGAATAGCTGAAGAATTGAGGTTTAAACCCAATACACTGAATATTTTTTAATTGCTGATCAAGATCTAAGTTCAATCTAAGGTTACAATGCCCGCTCTAGCCTTTGCACTTAAGCTTTTGTACTCCCATGACTGACGCTATTCACTCCCCCGTAAAACACTGGTGCGAATTTGAGTTTATTTCTAAGACTGTGAAAAATCCCAATATTCATATTAAAGGAAATTATTCTTATTATTCGGCATATTGGGATCAGGGGTTTGAACGTTGCGTGGTGCGTTATTTGCATGATAAGCCATCAACTGTAGAGAAACCAATTGACCAGTTATATATTGGTAACTTTGTTTGTTTTGGGGCGGAATGTGTGATCATGATGGGTGGCAATCAATTACATCGCCCTGACTGGATTTCTACATTTCCTTTTGATACCCGTAGCTTTTTACCCGCTGGGGATACGGTGATTGGCGATGGTTGTTGGATTGGCAGTCGTGCCATGATTATGCAAGGGGTAACGCTAGGTGAAGGTGCCATCGTTGCTACAGGTGCAGTCGTCACTCAAGACGTGCCAGCGTATGCAATTGTCGGTGGTGTACCGGCAAAACTCATTAAATATCGGTTTTCTCAGGATCAGATTGAAAAATTACAGTCAGTTAAATTGTATGATTTAGATGAAAAGCAGATTTTAAAAATTCGTGAACAATTACAAGGCGATGATATCAATCAATTGATTGAGTTTTTAAAAGCAGCAGAATAATTTCCTCGGTATAGGTTAATAATCAAACAGAAAGCAAAAAGGGCTAAATATCAATTTAGCCCTTTTGCAAAGATTAAAATCTTTTGCTATACATCAGAATTTAACACAACATTTTGCTGTGCATTTTTTAACTTTCGTTGTTTCAGATAATAAGCAAGCATCAAACAAAGAATCCATGCTGGAATCATCATTACCGCAATACGCATATTCTCGGTGAATGACATTACCACCAGAATACCTAACATAAAGATAATGCAAAGATAATTACTGAATGGATAAGCAATACTTGGAAACTTGGTGGTCTGCCCTTGTGTTTGCATGGCTTTACGGAACTTTAAATGCGTCCATGAAATGACCACCCAGTTAATCACAATTGCAGCAACCACCAACATCATCAATAAACCAAATGCTTTTTCTGGAAATGCATAATTGAGTAGTACACATAAAACTGTGACAAAAGCTGAAACATAGACTGCATTGGTTGGAATACCACGCTTATTAATATGCTTAAGGAACTTCGGTGCATTACCCTGTTGCGCCAAACCAAGTAACATGCGACTACTACAATAACTGGTCCCGTTATACACCGAAACAGCTGCAGTAAGGATGACAAAATTCAGTAAGGTCGCAACACCATGACTATCCAGTGAAGCAAATACCATTACAAATGGACTACCGCCTTCTGCCATTTGGTTCCATGGAAAAAGTGCAAATAAGATAAACAGTGTTGCAATATAGAAAATCAAAATACGGTAAATAATTTGATTGACTGCTTTAGGCAGAGTTTTATCAGGATCACGCGCTTCTGCTGCGGTAATACCAAATAGCTCAATCCCACCAAAGGCAAAAATAATCACAGCCATTGCCATGACTAAACCTTCCACACCAAATGGGAAAAACCCGCCCAATGCCCAAAGGTTACTAATGCTTGCCTGTGGCCCTGCTGTACCTGTTGCAAGTAAGTAGGAACCAAAGCCGATCATGGCTAAGATTGCCAAAATTTTGACGATAGAGAACCAAAACTCCATTTCGCCAAAAAATTTAACATGCAATAAGTTGATACCGTTGATTAAAACAAAAAACACCAATGCTGAAATCCAAGTCGGAATTTCAGGCCACCAATATTGAATATAAAGACCAATTGCGCTCAGCTCTGCCATACATACCAAAACATTGAGTACCCAATAATTCCAGCCAGACATAAAACCTGCAAATGAGCCCCAGTATTTGTAGGCAAAGTGACTAAATGAACCACTGACGGGTTCTTGCACCACCATTTCACCTAACTGTCGCATCATTAAAAACGCAATAAATCCAGCAATCGCATAACCGAGTATGACTGAAGGACCTGCAAGCTTAATCGATTGCGAAATACCCAGAAACAATCCTGTACCAATAGCACCACCTAGCGCGATAAGCTGGATGTGCCGATTGCTTAAACCATGTTTCAGGTTTCCTTGCTCATGTTTTGACATATGATTATTCTCATCCTTGTCTCGTAATTTTTGTATTCAAAATTACGTATATCATAAGTTAATCAAAAATGCCTATATCTAATCGAAAAATAATTGATTTACTTTTCTCATAACCGCGCATATAAGCAGAAAATTCAACAAATAACAATTATTATGAATTATGTAATCAAATTATGTATTGCGTAATTAAATATTTTCAGTATGATAGAAATCATAAGACACTGACAACTTGCTTGAGTCATTTGAACAAGGCATCTAAATAACTTTATATTTATTTGTTTTTCAAATACTTAAAAAATACATTAAAGATTTTGATCACCCCTAACAAAATTAAAGACAAGGAAAGCAAATCATGAGCTCACATTTAACTTGTTTTCTTGAAATTGACTCACAATCAGATTTCACAATACATAATTTGCCCTACGGTATTTTTAGTGAAACACCCCAAGGCACAAAACGAGTGGGTGTTGCCATTGGAGATTGGGTCATAGACCTTGCCCACTTAGAGGCACATGGACTATTAACGATCAATGGACATCAAGATTGTTTTAATCAAGCGACTCTGAATAAATTTATAGAAACGGGTAAACACAACTGGCAAAAGGTTCGTACGGCATTACAAAGTCTACTCTCTGCTGAAAATCCAACACTTCGTGATGATGTGGTTTTACGCCAAAACGCATTGTTTAAGCAAAATACAGTCACTTTACACTTACCTATTCAAGTCTCTGGCTATACAGATTTCTACTCGTCCAAAGAACATGCTACCAATGTCGGAACCATGTTTAGAGATCCAAAGAATGCATTGCTTCCAAACTGGAGCGAACTTCCTGTGGGATATAATGGTCGTGCCAGCTCTGTGATTGTCAGTGGCAAAGATATTGTTCGCCCTTCTGGCCAAATCAAATTACCAGATCAAGAACGCCCTGTTTTCTCTGCAACACGTAAACTCGATTTTGAATTAGAAACTGCCTTTATCGTTGGTAAAGCAACTGAATTGGGTGAGCCTATCGCCATTACAGATGCTTGGGAGCATATTTTTGGTATGGTCTTACTCAATGACTGGTCGGCACGTGATATTCAACAATGGGAATACGTACCATTAGGTCCGTTTAACGCCAAGACTTTTGCAAGTGCAATTTCACCTTGGGTAGTGACCATGCAAGCGCTGGAACCATTTAAAGTCAAAGGCCCAGAACAACAGCCTAAACCACTTTGCTATTTAGAAGAAAATATTGCTAACAGCTATGATATTCATCTCAGTATTGAAGTTCAAAGCCCTCAATCAGCACAAGCTGATGTAATTTGCCAGACCAACTTTAAATATATGTATTGGTCAATGGCACAGCAACTCACCCACCACACGATTGCCGGTTGCAATGTCCAAGTCGGTGACTTGATGGGTTCAGGCACAATTTCAGGCCCTACAGAAGATGCTTATGGTAGTTTGCTTGAACTGACATGGAATACCACCAAACCGCTAACCCTCTCGAATGGCGAAAAACGTGGTTTCTTACAAGATGGTGACCGTGTTGTGATGAAAGGCTATTGTGAAAAAGCAGGGATCCGAGTGGGCTTTGGTGAGGTTGCCAATAGCATTTTGCCAGCTCGCCAGTTTAACTTTCATCAAACAGAAGACTTGAGCTATGAAACTGTATAGTTATTTTCGTAGCTCTGCAGCTTATCGGGTTCGAATTGCACTGAACCTCAAACAACTGAGTTATGAAATACAGCCCGTGCATTTGGTCAAGAATGAGCAACTGCTAGAGCGTTACCAAGCACTTAATCCAAGTCAGTGTGTTCCAACTTTAGTGGATGAAGATCAAAGCTTTTTACAGTCACTCAGTATTTTGGAATATCTGGAAGAACGTTATCCAGCAATTTCATTGTTGCCTGACAATATCGTCACGCGCTGTAAAGTACGTGCTTTTGCACAAGCGATCGCCTGCGATATTCATCCGTTAAATAATTTAAGAGTCTTAAAGTATTTACAAAATGATCTCAGTCTCAGTGACGAGCAAAAAAAACACTGGTACCAACACTGGATCATAGCGGGCTTTAACAGCTTAGAAGCCCAACTACAAGATTCAAATGGGCAATTCTGTTTTGGTACACAACCGACATTTGCAGACTGTTGTTTGATTCCTCAAGTCTATAACGCCAAACGCTTTAAAATTGATTTAAGCGCTTTTGCAAAGATTGAGTCGATTAGTCAACACTGTTTAACCCTTCCTGCCTTCTTCAATGCAGCCCCAGAACAACAACCAGATTGGGAATAAAGATAAAGGAGTTTTATCATGAGCTTTGCGATTAAAAAAATTCACCATGTGGCTTATCGTTGTAAAGATGCCAAAGAAACCGTGGAATGGTATAAAAAAATGCTCAATATGGATTTTATTTTGGCCTTTGCTGAAGACCATGTGCCTTCGACTAAAGCCTTTGATCCGTATATGCATTTATTCTTAGATGCTGGACAAGGCAATGTATTGGCATTTTTTGAACTGCCTACTCAACCCGATATGGGGCGTGATGAAAATACCCCTCAATGGGTTCAACATATCGCATTTGAAGTCGAAGACCTCGATACGTTATTGATTGCAAAAGAACATCTTGAAACACATGGTGTTAAAGTTCTTGGTGTCACCAACCATGGCATTTTCCACTCGATTTATTTCTTTGACCCCAATGGTCATCGTTTAGAACTGACCTATAACGATGTGCATGCAGATGCAAAAATCGCACGAATTACCGAAGAAATGAAATTAGAAATGCTAGATGAGTGGAGCCGTACCAAACGTGCGCCTCAGCATACTCACTTTTTGCATGAAGACGAGTTGGGAGCATAACCATGCTCAGTTGAGTATGTCTGGGTGCCAAAGCCAACTTAGTCCTTACTAAGTTTATTAATCGAATGATTCGTGATTTGGCATCCTAGATCTAGTTGAACACGATATTAAGCAGCATTAACAGCACACAATGCTAGTTTTGCTGAATCTTAAGCAATAACAGCAATCAGCATTTAAAATATTGCTGTGAGACAATAGTGGATCTAATCGGTATTGAAGCCTTGTGACTCCAATACCGATTTTTATCGGCTTAACTTTAATAGTCTAGATCTTTTGATGATGTCCTGTTTTTTAATAAATCATATGCAGCACTTCAAAAACAATTGTATGCTGATAACATTCACTGAGGCTCTTTTGAGATTTCATTTAAAAAGATAAGTTCTATTTTGTACAATGCTCAGGCACTATGTGTTAAATATGTAAATCAAATATCGACAGCACATCAACACTGCTAGATCGTATACAGATTAAGGGTTATTCAATGATTGAAGAAAAGTTGTCTGGTGGGGTTCAATCACTTGAGGTGGGCTTAGCCGTTCTCAATGCCCTTTTGGAACATAATAAGCCGATTATTTTAAAAGAGTTGTCGAGTAAACTTGATATGCATCCAGCCAAGGTACATCGTTATCTTGTCAGTTTGATTCGGATGAATTATGCAAAACAACTTGAGGGTGGTCAGTATGCGCTTGGTGATCAAGCTTGGCGTTTAGGTTTAAACTGTATCCAACACACCGATGTTTTACAGCTTGTTCAGCACCTTATTTATGAATTACAAAGTAAAATTGGTTGCGGGATTCAAATCAGCAAATGGTCACCTAAAGGCCCATTAGTTGTACAGTCGATTGAATCAAATCATCCGATTTCAATTGTGACCAAAGTCGGTTCGATCATGCCTTTAGTAAATTCAGCTGCTGGGCGGGTTTTTGCCTCCTATTTACCCGAAGCGCTAATCAAGCCATTGATGCACTCTGAATGGGAAAAAGCAACGCTGAACCATAGTCAAGTCAAACCCACCAATTGGGACGAATTTCTTGTTTTAAAAGAAAATACTTTACAACAAGGTATGGCAATTGCCCAAGGTGACTTACTTGTTGGTATCAATGCTGTGGGTTTACCTATTTTCAATGCGCATCTTGCAATGGAATTTTGTATTGTTGCATTAGACAGTGAAATGTTTTTACCAGTCAACGCGGGTAGTGAAAAACTTGAACTATTTAAACGTGAAGTTGCTGCGATGAATCAATATATACAAACACGTTAATTTTTTAGTGAAAGATCGCAAAAAAGCCAAGAATTAAATTCTTGGCTTTTTGTATTGAGTACGATTTTGTTATTTGGCTTCTAATACGCCACGGCGGATTTGGTCACGTTCGATTGATTCAAACAATGCCTTAAAGTTACCCTCACCAAAACCATCGTCGTCTTTACGTTGAATAAATTCAAAGAATACAGGTCCAAGCATATTTTCAGAGAAAATCTGTAATAACAGTTTCTTCTGACCGTCTTTGGTATTGCCATCTAACAGAATACCGCGCTTTTGCAGCTCTTCTGTCGGCTCACCATGATCAGGCAGACGATCTTTTAACATTTCATAATAAGTTTCAGGAGGTGCCGTCATAAACTTCAGCCCTAAACCTTTTAACTTATCCCATGTTGAAATTAAGTCATCGGTAATAAAAGCAATGTGTTGAATGCCTTCTCCGTTAAAGTCAGCCAAAAACTCAGCGATTTGTCCATTGCCTTTGTCTGAGTCTTCATTCAAAGGAATACGAATCATCCCATCAGGTGCAGTCAGCGCCTTAGAAGTTAAACCCGTATATTCACCTTTGATATCGAAATAGCGAATTTCTTGGAAGTTAAAGATTTTTTCATAGAAATTTGCCCAATAATCCATGCGCCCTTTATAGACATTATGGGTTAAATGATCAATTTCATTTAAACCAGCTCCACGTGGATTTCGATTTTCGTCATCAAAGAATACAAAATCATTTTCATAAATATCACGATCAACCAAGAAAATTGGCATACCGCCTATGCCTTTAATCGCTGGGATATTTAATTCCATTGGTCCTGCTTGCGAATACATTGGCTCTGCGCCAAGTTCAATTGCATTTTTAAAAGCTTTGGCTGCATCACGCGTTCTAAAACCCATTGCACATGCTGATGGGCCATGTTCTTTAAAGAAGAATGATGCATAAGATTCAGGTTGATAATTCAAGATAATATTGATATTACCCTGACGCCATAAATAAACTTTTTTAGATTTATGCTTAGCGACTTTAGCAAAACCAATTGCTTCAAAGATTTGATCTAATCCATTTTCCGTCGAAACAAACTCAATAAATGCAAAGCCACATAGTTCTAATGGGTTATCTAAAATATCCATCTAGTTTCCCTTATTTGAATAAATTCATCCGTTTTTTAATGCCGAGAAAAGATCACAGGTATTTAGGTCAATCAACAAAATATCCTGATTTGAACTCTTCCTTTCCATAATTTAGTCCATGTAAAGCGCTAACCTTAAGCTGCATTTACACTGACGCTTAACTCTAAATTTATCCTACAAGAAAGCTTAAATTTATGCAATACATAATCAAATTATGTTATGTGTAATTTTTATTTCTTATTCTAATAACCTCGAGCATACTATTCTCGCGCAAATAGCATTACATTATTATGAGACTTTTCTACTAGCTTTGATGTTTCAGGTTGAAAAGCTTCCCAACTTAAATCGTTATTTATCGTCATTTAAAATTTGGCTTATCTTTCATTAAAAAAGCGCGAACACCTTCTAAAAAATCTGCTGACTGCCCTGCCTGTCTTTGCAAATCCTGCTCAACTTTAACTTGGCTAGTAAAATCATTTTGCATGCTGACCCGCATCGCTTGTTTAATCAAGGCAAAACTCAGGCTGGCTTGGGTTGCCAAATACTCGGCTAAAGTAACAACCTCTATCTGTAACTGATCATCTTCTACCACTTTATAAATCATTCCCAATCGTTCCGCTTCATCTGCACTGATTTTTTCGGCAGTCAGCATCAACGCTTTGGCTTTGGCAAAGCCGATCATACGCGGCAATAACCAAGTTGCACCACAGTCTGGAATTAAGCCAATTTTGCTAAAAATTTGTGAAAAGCTTGCAGACTTTGCCGCAATCACGATATCACATAACAAGACCAGGCTCGCTCCCGCACCAGCTGCAACGCCATTTACAGCACAGATAATCACTTTTGGTAGTGTATTGATGAGCGCTAATAAGGGATTAAAGTATTTTTCCAAGACCAAACCCAAGTCTATAGCACCACCACCAAATAAATCTGGGCTTATCGCCTGACCTGCACAAAATGCTTTTCCAATCGCAGCAATCACAATAATGCGGATTTCGGTATCATCTTTCCATTGTGTTAAGACCTCTACAATTTCAAGGCACATTTGCGGTGTAAAGCTATTGAATTGTTCAGGCCGATTTAAGCTCAAATATCCAACTGCATTTTTTTCTTCGACTATAATTGTTTGATATTCCATTGTCTTTTCCTTTTAATCCATGGTTTAAATTGTAATGTCCTATTATTTTCAGTATTTATATTTAAAACATTTTAAAGGAAGAACTGGATTTACAATTTGCCAATTGTTTCATTCAGCCGATATATTTTCTCAATTGTGTATGGCTTTTGTTTAAACAATTTAAAGCTTTATTTTGATCATGCTTGATTGCATCTCGATCTTTATTTTATTGATTGATTTATCTTTTTATTCAGCTGCATTTACAAGCAACAAAACGATGTAACTTGATGCCAATGCATTTAATTAAATTTATGATATTTATATGAATTATCCCTACACATTTACTCGGTTTTATTCATCTCATATTCACGTTATGATGATTCTATAAACTTAGAATTGTAATAAATATTCAACTCAGCTTTTGGGTAAAATAAGGAAAATAGACATGGCTTATCAAAATATCCTCGTTCCTGTTGATGGTTCAGAAACCTCATTATCTGTTGTGAAACATGCGGTTGAATTTGCCAAAGCATTTAACAGTAAAATCACGGTTGTACAGGTGATGACTTTAGACCCTTATATTGCATCAGAATATTTGGCGCATGGTCAAAGCAATATGCTGATTGAGCGTGCTCGTGAATTTATTCAATCCAATATCAATGTGGCAAAAGATCAATTTGCCGCAAAAGGCGTGCAAGTTGAAACACGTTTACTCGAAGGCGAAAATATTGCACATACCTTAAATCAAGCTGTGCAGGATTTAAAAATTGATTTGGTCATTCTCAGTTCACATGGTCGTACCGGACTGAAAAAAATTATTATGGGCAGCGTAGCGCAAAGCTTATTAACTGAATTACAAATCCCTGTTTTAGTAATTAAATAATTTTCACCTTTTGTTTTAAACATTCCTCACTATCTTTATAGTGAGGAATCAGGGTGTCCATTGATATTTTTTTAGATTTATTTTGCCATCAATAACCACAACATCCTCAGCCAATAACTTTGCAGTCTGAATACACATTCCCTTCTCATCCAGCTTTTTTAAGCTGATTCGCCCTTGTGAATTAACCACTCGATACCAAGGGATATCATGATCTTCAGGTAACTGTCCTAATACACGCCCAACCAACCGTGCATGTTTGGGTAAGCCTGCATATTTGGCAACTTGACCATAACTGGCAACTTTACCTTGGGGAATTTGTATGATGACATTTAAAATCATCTGAGCGAGTTCATGATTTGACATTTTTTAGATCAATCAAATAATAAAAAATAATATTCATAAGCATCTTGGCAAACGGGGTTAAATTGACTTTGAAAATAGGCTTTAAACATTTTAGGCAAATGTAATTTGACTGTACATAATCTAATCTTAAATCGTACCTCAAATACAACAACAAGAGTATTCAAAGATGAAAGGAATCTTCAACAAACTGATTTTATCGACGGCATTGGCAATAGGTTCTGTGGTAACAGTAGGCTTATCGACCACAAGCTATGCTGCTCCAGCGATTGACATTCAAAGTGTGCTTCAACAAGAACGGGCATGGGCGGGCATGGAAACCAAACGTGTAAAAGTCGGTGATATTGATTGGGCTTATAGTGAAGGCGGACCAGCTGGCAAACCTACCATTATGCTCGTTCATGGCCTAGCTGGAAGTCGTGACAACTGGAATCGTGTGGCACGTTACTTAACGCCTTATTACCATGTGATTATTCCTGATCTTCCTGGTCAAGGTGACAGTAAAGTCCCTAACGATTTTGATTATTCATTGCCCAATCTCACTGAAAAATTACGTCGTTTTGCTGAAGCCATTAAAGTAGACAATGGTTTAAATGTCGCTGGTCACTCGATGGGTGGCTCGATTTCCTTACTTTACGCAGCACAATACCCTGTTGATACCAAATCTTTATTTTTAATTGATAGTGCAGGTGTATTTAAATCTGCCAATACTCCTTATTTAAAAGATCCAACAACTTTACGTAATATGATTGTCAGCAAACCTGGCGATTTTGATCGTTTAATGAAAATTGCAACCAGTCTACCGCCTTTTATTCCTAAAGAATTAAAAGATGCTCAAGAGAAATTGATGATTAGCCAATCGGCAAACACCACCAAATTGGTTGAGCAACTGATTGTCATGTCTAAATTATTTACTCCAGATTCTTTTGCCATTGCAGCACGTTCGATTGACCAGCCGGTATTGATTGCATGGGGAGATAAAGACCAAATTATCAATGTTGAAGCTGCGGCTGAACTCAAAGGCTTATTGAAAAATGCACAAGAGCCAATCATTCTAAAAGGAGTCGGACATTTACCGATTTTAGAACAAGAGCAACTTTTGATTAAACCTTACCTCGATTTCTTAGGCAAAAACGCAAAATAACAGCTCCAATAAAAAAGCCAGTATTGTTACTGGCTTTTTTATTGCGATAGACGTCTAAGAATATTGAAGTTTTAGCCTCTCAATTTTACACCTTAACTATTCATCTGACTTAATGCGCTGCATTTAGAAGTTACCAGGATTTTCCAATCGCTTCATTTCTTGCGCTTTTTCAGGATGATGTACGGAGGCCACACCATCTGCAGCTTTCTTGTCAACCAACGCTTCTGGGTTATAAATGGTAATGGTTTCATGCCCTTCGTTATCTTCACCCACAATATATTTGATGCCTTTACGGTTCATTTTATTGCACATGCGCTGATACCAACCTTTGAAACCTTGGGTTTCTTCATTTGGATTGTAATAAAAGGCATTCATGACTGCAGGTAAACCCAAACCACAGACGACACCTGAAAGTAATACGCTGATAAAGGTATAACCAATTAGAATACTACTGTAGTCACGTAACTCAGGGACGTTTGCCACAGCAAGGATCAATGCAAGTGAAATTCCCCCACGAACCCCTCCCCAAGAAAGAATAGCCAGACTACCGTTATAGCTCTTTTTGCGGAACGATGGGAAAAATGCAAAAGCTAAGAAATTTGCGGCAAAACGAGAGAGATGCAAGGCAAAGAAAGCAAAAATACCACCAAGAATCAAACTTGTGCTTAAATCTAAAATAAAGATTTCTAGACCAATCAAGGTGAAGAGGAAAGAGTTAATAATCCCTTCTACCGTATGCCAAAAATGATTAACCTCACGAATTTCACGATCCTGTAAAATTTCTTTCCATTTATTACCGACAATTAAACCGCCAATCACACAGGCAATCGGAGCGGATGCATGGGCAAATAATGCAACCAGATAAGAGCCACATGCCAATAATGCAGTGGTAAGAATCAAAGACTCCATCTCGTGTTTACCACGTAATAAACGCAAGATTCCCAGACCAAAAGCCCAACCAATGATGACCGCAACCACAATCTCATATAAGAAAGTTTGTAGCGTTGCCATTAAACTAAAATGCTCTCCTTCGAGGACATTCAATAAAGTCATGAAGACTGCGATACACATTGCATCGTTAAATAAAGACTCGCCTTCCAACTTAACAATCAGATGATGGGGCGCACGTACTGAACTGAGGACACCTTTGATCCCAATCGGATCTGTCGCACCTAAGGCAGAACCCAATAACAATAAAACTAAAATTGGAACGGGATTGCCAATCAAGAATTGGAAACCAAACACCAATCCTGCAAAAAATACAGCACAGAGCAGTAAAGCAATCGTTGCCAAGATACTGATCGGCTTCCAATAAACTTTTAAATCTGAAACCTTAAATTTAAGTGCTGAAGAAGTCAGAATGAAGCAAATGACACCATTGACTAAAAAATCATAAAAATCGACATGCCGTACAGCTTCTTCAATATTATGAATATTAATCGAGATAAATTGATTGCCATTGAGTAAGCTGGCACCCCATTGCAAAATAAAGACAAAAATTGCTGAAACAATGGGAACACCAATGGCTTGAGGGAAACCTAATATTCGCTTATTAAAAATTGTAGTCGCGATAGAAAGCGCAAAAATGACTGTAAAGACCTGAAGAAAGAAATAGTTACCCATCCGAAACCTGTTTTAGATTTTTAATTTAAATGCACATCAAACACTCAATCATTTTTTTATAAAATATAAAATAAGAGACCATTTAACAATCTAGATAATTGTACAAAAAAAACTGAAATATGATGATTACTGGTTATATTTTTTAACATAAAAAGCGCTAAAAAAAAATTGATTGAGAAAAAAAGAGAACATGATGTTCTCTTCTTTAACTCAACAATCTATAGCTGTCTATTTAAAGGTATCACACGCATTGATATCACCAGAGTTCATACCGATGTTAAACCATTGCATACGTTGCTGACTGGTGCCATGCGTAAAGCTGTCTGGTACCGCATAACCACGTGCTTTTTTCTGCAAGTAGTCATCACCAATTTTTTCAGCAGCATCCATCGCCTCTTCAATATCACCCTGTTCTAAAAACTGCGTGCGTTGTTGTGTACGATTGGCCCAAACCCCAGCTAAACAGTCCGCTTGTAATTCTAAACGTACTGAAAGTTGATTGCCCTGAGTTTCACTGGCACGCTGGCGTGCTTGTTGAACCTGAGACGATATTCCCAATAAATTCTGTACATGATGCCCAACTTCATGCGCAATCACATAAGCTTGTGCAAAATCACCCGCTTCATCTTTAGCTGAAAGCTCAGATTGATTTTTTTCCCCAGAGATGCCCATCTGTTGGCGCATATCTTTAAAGAATTGGGTATCGATATACACTTTTTGATCTGCTGGGCAATAAAATGGCCCCATTGCAGATTCAGCAGTACCACAGCCTGATCGTTCCACACCACTGAACATCACCAGCTTAGGTGAAACGTACTGTACCCCTTGTTGCTGGAAAATTGGCTTCCAAGTATCTTCGGTATCTGCCAAAACAGTTTTAACAAAAGATGCCGTTTCCTGCTGTTCAGGAGTTAAATTGGTGGGTGCAGAATTTTGGCTTGCCCCAGCCGAAGTCACCTGTTTGGTCGCCTGATAGGCTTGCTGTGGATCAACACCAAAAAATTTCCATGCAACAAAAGCAACGATTAAGCCCAGGATACTAATTCCACCCGCTTTTACGCCACCACCGCCACGGCGATCTTCGACATTATCACTTTCTCTACGTCCTTTCCAACGCATAGATCGGTCCTTTTTATTTTAAATTGGCTATCGTTTAGGATGTGCTTTGCATTTAGGCTGTTGTTGATTTACCACGAACTTTTTGAATAAGTCCAACAACCAATACCACGGCTAAGCCTGCGACGATACCAATCAGTAAATTGATTAACGTTGGTGTTAATGCACCAATAACACTACCAACGGTTGGAATATGTTGAATATGATCAACGGCTTCTTCTGACCAATGATGCAAAGTTGAAACAGCATGGGTGATGATCCCCCCACCGACAAGGAACATTGCAATGGTTCCAACAATCGTTAATGTTTTCATTAACTTTGGTGCAAATACCAGTAAACCACGGCCAATGCTTTGTTTAACATTTGATGTTTGTTGGGTTAAGTACAAACCTAAATCATCAATCTTTACAATCATAGCGACAAAGCCATAGACACCGACGGTCATTAAAATTGCGATGACAGATAGCACCATCACTTTGGTACCAAATGTTGCAGCCGCAACAGTCCCTAAAGAAATCACCACAATTTCAGCAGAGAGAATAAAGTCTGTGCGTATCGCGCCTTTAATTTTATCTTTTTCAAATGTGGCTAAATCAGTTTCGATTTGTTCAAGTTCCTCTTGTGCAGCTTCACCGGTTTTGGCTTTTTTATGCTGCAAACTATGTAGAACTTTTTCAACACCTTCATAGCAAAGAAACAGACCACCAATCATCAGCAATGGGTTAATCAACCATGGTGCAACCACACTGATCAGCAAAGCCAAAGGCACTAAAATTAATTTATTGATAAATGAGCCCTTCGCGACACCCCATACCACAGGAAGCTCACGCTCTGCTCTTACACCACTCACTTGTTGTGCGTTCAGTGCTAAATCATCACCTAAAACACCCGCAGTTTTTTTAGCCGCCATTTTACTCATGACTGCAACATCATCGAGCACTGCTGCGATATCATCTAATAATATTAATAGACTACTTGCCATTTTTTATCCAAAATTTTAGTTATCCTGTCATTTTAAAGTGAAAATTCATTTTTCTATATAAAATTTTGTAGATTTTCACATTTATTGATAAAAATTGGTTCTACACCATTTTTCGCTGACATTAAAATAAATTATCTCGTACAATAGTGCCCATTCATAAAACACGACTGTCTATACAAAGACTTTGGAAGCGATAATGACGAATCAAGATAATCGTCCTGTGATTTTGACAGGCGACCGTCCTACTGGACAACTACATTTGGGACATTTTGTAGGTTCTTTGCGCTCACGAGTAGGCTTACAAGATTCTCATCATCAACACCTCCTTCTCGCAGATGCTCAGGCTTTAACAGATAATGCGGATAACTTTGAAAAAGTTCGTCGTAATATTCTTGAAGTAGCAACAGACTATTTAGCAGTCGGCATTGACCCAACAAAAACCACAATCTGTGTTCAATCTTGCTTACCTGCGTTGAATGAACTCACCATGTTGTATTTAAACTTTGTGACGGTTTCTCGTTTAGAACGTAACCCAACCATCAAAGCTGAAATTCAATTACGTGGTTTTGAGCGTGATATTCCAGCAGGTTTTCTTTGCTACCCTGTTGCACAAGCTGCCGATATTACTGCATTTAAAGCCACTGTCGTGCCAGTTGGTGAAGACCAAATTCCAATGATCGAACAGACCAATGAAATTGTTCGTCGTTTAAACCGTCAAATTGGACAAGAAGTTTTACCTGAGTGTAAAGCGCTTTTATCCAATATGAGCCGTTTACCTGGCTTTGATGGTAAAGCCAAAATGTCGAAATCATTGGGCAATACCATCGTGTTAGATGCAACAGATAAAGACATCAAAAAAGCAGTCAATGCAATGTATACCGATCCAAACCATCTGCGTATTGAAGATCCAGGCCAGGTTGAAGGAAATATTGTCTTTACTTATTTAGATGCTTTTGATCCAAATAAAGAAGAAGTTGAAGAACTTAAAGCACATTATCGTCGTGGTGGTTTAGGCGATGGTACTGTGAAAAAACGTCTTGAAGGTGTGTTAAAGGAGTTGATTACACCAATCCGTGAACGTCGTATGGAACTAGCAAAAGATCCAGATTACATCATGGATATCTTAAAAACTGGTACGGAAAAATGCCGTATCATCACTCAAGATACTTTAGACGAAATCAAAAATGGTTTAGGCGTATTTCATTTCTAAAATGCGCTGATTATCTAAGTAAAAAAAGCCACTGAATTCAGTGGCTTTTTTTACAACATCTTTTATAACATCATAAATTAATTTTTATGACGCATATGTGGGAATAAGATCACATCGCGAATACTTACTGCATTGGCAAATAACATCACTAAACGATCGATACCAATACCTTCACCTGCTGTAGGAGGTAAACCGTATTCTAATGCTTCAATAAAGTCAGCATCGAAATGCATTGCTTCATCATCGCCCGCATCTTTTTCAGCAACTTGCGCTTGGAAGCGTTCAGCTTGGTCAATTGGATCATTTAATTCCGAGAAACCATTTGCCAACTCACGACCACCGATAAAGAATTCGAAGCGGTCTGTGATATGTGGATTATCATCATTTCGGCGTGCTAACGGCGAAGTTTCCGCAGGATATTCTGTGATAAATGTCGGCTGACGTAATTGAGTTTCAACAGTTTCTTCAAATACGATGGTTTGTAGTCGACCTAAACCAAAACCTGGTTTAACTTGCTCTTTTAACTCTTCACGAATAAATGTTGCCAAGAATTCACGATCCGAAACATTTTCAGCAGTGAAATTTGGATTATGCTCAAGAATCGCATCAAACATCGAGATTTTCTTAAATGGACCTTTGAAGCTATACACTTCTTCACCATAAGGAACATCTGTTGAACCCAAGATGTCGATTGCTAATTTTTCAAGCATCCCCTCTGTCAAAGCCATGAGATCTTTGTAATCAGCATAAGCTTGATAGAATTCAATCATGGTGAATTCTGGGTTATGACGCGTTGAAACACCTTCGTTACGGAAGTTACGGTTAATTTCAAATACACGCTCAAAACCACCAACAACCAAACGTTTTAAGTAAAGCTCAGGTGCAATACGCAAGAATAATGGCATATCTAATGCATTATGGTGTGTTTCAAATGGACGCGCTGACGCACCACCTGGAATCACATGCATCATCGGAGTTTCAACTTCCATAAAACGTTCATTGATGAGATAGTTGCGAATACCTGACACAACTTTTGCACGAATTTCAAAAGTTTTACGTGTTTCTTCATTCACAATTAAGTCTAAATAACGTTTACGGTATTTTACTTCTGTGTCATTCAAACCATGAAACTTGTCTGGAAGTGGACGAAGCGATTTCGTCAATAATTCAAAATGTTCAATATGAACATATAAATCACCTTTGCCAGAACGACCGATATAACCTTGAACAGCAATAATATCGCCAAGATCTAGACTTTTCACAGTTTCTAGAACTTCAGGTGCAAGCTCTTTACGTGGCACATACAATTGAATACGGCCCGTCATGTCTTGAATCACGATAAATGAACCACGGTTCAACATCACACGACCCGCTACAGATACGTGAACTTGCTCGCCTGCTTCAATTTGTTCTTTAGATTGATCTGCAAATTGTTCTTGTAGATCTTGCGCATAATGCTCACGCTTAAATGTGTTTGGCCATGGGCTAACACCGGTTTCCTTGGCGTGATCTTGAATTTGCTTTAACTTGGCATGACGCTGTGCAATTAAATCGTTTTCGGAAATGTGTTGTTCAGAAGTCGATTGAGCGTTATGTTGCGTCATCTCTGCCTCGATTATATTAAAAAACGGAAGTTGCATAGCATAGCAGATTTACAACATAATGCGTATGAATATAACTCTACGAACCATGTAAAAATTAAAAATCATGAATAAATACTGGCAAGGATTCGCCCAAAGTATCATTCTTTTCAATGTTTTGTGGTTTTCAACTGTGGTTGATGCCGAGCAAATCGTTGTTATGAGCAATACTCAAAAAGATCTTCCTATAAAAATTGAAAGCACCAATCTCAATAATCAAGATTATATTTGGCAATTAGAAATCGTTCCAAATCGAACCAGTTTACAAAGCCTAGTCAAATTAATGAATCCACACCCTACTCAAAAAGCACTCAATTTAAGGGCTTTAGAACTGGCAAAAAAACTTACTCTAGATCAATTACCGCAAGTCAGTAATGATTTTAAAAATAAAACCCTCAATTTTGATGAACAAAACATCGCAAAAATAAAATATTATTATGGGAAATACATTCTGTTTATTAAATTTCCAGCCCGCGTCCAATACGCCATAAAACCCAACTTTTCACAAGTACAAAGCGCTTTAGAACCCTTTTGTGACCAAAGTAAGACACCCTCTCAGAATAAAATTAAATTTGATCAACAAGGTAATATCTCGCTCTCAGCAAAATTTTTGGTAGATGCACAAGGGCAAATCCTAAATATCCGTTACACCCCTTTAATTCACGAACAAATGAAATCGATACTGCAACCTTTACTAGAAAAAATTCGCTTCCAACCGCGTAATGAAAATGGTGTGGCAAAATCATTTTCTATTGAACAACCACTGATTATTCAATGCCATTAAACAATAATGAAAGTGCTAAGTTTCTCAATGGTCTTGTTCAGCCAATGATTTGACTATGGCAAACCCTTGCTGGAAAGCACGATCCATCATGTCCTTATATTCCTCAGAGGTTTCTATTTCAGCAGATAATGTGGTTGTTTCACCCTGTTCATTTAAGAAATATTTTTCTAAAGAGCCACTCCAACTTTGAACATCTGCACTTGTTGAATCTAAAACACCATTTTTCAAAACACCCAAATGTTTAAATACCACTTTTTTAAACTGCTCCAACTCTACAATGGTGGCGACCATACCATTGCCACTGGCATCCTGAAATAAGGTTTCCCCGCCAATTTTCCAGTCAGACTGCATCTGCGAAGTTTCCGAAAACGGTTGGGTCCATTTGGAATAAGTATGGGTATCCCACAGGATATTCCATACTGTTTGTGCATTCGCTTGAATGACAATGTCATAGCTTAAAGTCATCATTTCTTTCTCTTATTTTATTGATCCAATCTATAGCTTAGTACAATAAAAACCCAGAATGATTAATTTTTGTTAATAAAAATCCATCACCTAAAAATTTTAAACCTAAACATTCAATATGTTAAACAATAAATAACAAGCATATTGATCTGTTACACAACACTCTTAGACCAAAATCTAAGTTTTTAAAAAAGTGCAGCTAAGTAGAATATTTGAATATAAAAATAGTTAAATGGAAAATTTTAAATCCATTGATAACTTTTTCTAGCTTTGTTCAATTTCTACCTTTGCTCAATAAAGAAAGACCATATGAAAACGATAACAATGAAGAGTATTCATTCTAAAATTTTATTTTTACATGGACTAGATTCATCTAAAGAATCGACAAAATTCCATGCCATAAATGCTGAAAAAAAATATTGTATTAACGTGGATTATCGTAATCTTAACTACAAAACGGTTGAGTGTTTTTATCACGATATTATCGAAAAGATTAAACCTGATTTACTGGTAGGTCATAGTTTAGGTGGATATTGGGCATTAAAAATGTCACAGCAACATCGAATTCCTGCAATCCTTGCCAATCCAAGCTTAAATCCAGATTTCCGTGAAGACTATGCAGCGATTGATGAACATGATTTAGACCATGACATTCCACAAATTGCTTATCTGGAACTGGGTGATGAGGTTTTAGATATGTATAAAGTGCTTGAACAACTAGAGTCATATATGCAGATTGAAGCTGTTGAAGGTGGACACCATCGTTTAGTCCAACCTGAAAATTTAAATCATTTAATTGAATATATGGAACAAACCTTTATTGCTTGAAATAAAATCATCAAAGTACAGTTCGTTGCTCTCCAACTAAAAAAGCCTTGTATTTACAAGGCTTTTTTCACGTCGAGACAGACAAACAAATGATTTAAGTATTCAATCACAAGAATGTAGCCCGAAAACTTTACTTGTTATTACTTTTAAGCAACCGCTTTTTCAACTGGCTTTGAATGCTCATCAAGCACTGACCAAATCTGTAAACCAAGATCTTGATGTAAATCAGGTAGGTCAAGAAAAATACTTGCACCCAATACCGTATGTTGGCATTTATGCATCAATTGATTGACAGCTTTTAAAGTACCGCCTGTAGCCAATACATCATCTACAATAATCACTTTTTGTGCTGCGATATCCGCTGACATTTCCAAGCGATCTAAACCATATTCTAAGCTATAGCCCACACCAACCACTGGAGGTGGCAACTTACCTGCTTTACGAACCAACAATAAGCCTTTACCGGTACGTTGTGCCAATAAACTGGCTAAAACAAAACCTCGTGCCTCAACTGCAACAAAACTATCCACTGCATCCAACTGCTCTACAGGAATACTTGTAATCAATACATCGGTTAACTCCACAAGATTGTTCATGAACAATGGGGTTAAATCATAAAAACAAATACCTGGTTTTGGGAAGTTTTGGACAGTACGAATACTTGACCACAAAGCAGTAGACATGTTCATCATGGGGGAGATTTAAAAAAAGAGAAATAATACGTGAATTTTAACGTTTATTAGCCAAAATTGACAGCAGCTCGCTACCTATTCAATATTATGGTCACGCTAAGCTGTTGAATTTATTAAGTCCATTTTCACACAAAATGATGGCTATACAGTGAGCTAATTTTAGCTTAATATTTTTGGCTAAAATATTCATCTAGACCTTTGTCTAAATTCAAATATTTTTAAACTTTTATATCAGCGCTCAACCCTTGTTATGACAGGATTGTAATTAAAATTGTCTGACAAAGTTGGCATAATAAACATCGCTTTTGTCCTGAGCTGCCATTCAGCTTTGAGATTAGTTAGATAAACTCCGATATTTACTTTACTTTAGATACAGAACTGCGTAAGAATTTAGAGGAATATGTACACATTTTATTTGCATATTATTTGAGTCAAGCAGCAGAAGGAATTTTACTGACAGAAAAAACAATGCATCTGTCAGATATCGGAGAATCAGATGAAGAAATATCAATGCATCGTTTGTGGTTGGATTTATGACGAAGCAGAAGGTTGGCCACAAGATGGCATCGCAGCAGGTACCAAGTGGGAAGACATTCCTGATGACTGGACATGCCCAGACTGCGGTGTTTCTAAAGCAGACTTTGAAATGGTAGAAATCTAAGATATTGCGTAAAGACCATGTTTACATGGTCTTTTTTACATTTATTTTCAACAATACAAAATTATTCAATTCACCTCTAAATTTGAAACAGGTATGGAGAAAGATATGCAACCGATCATCATCATAGGTTCTGGCATGGCGGGTTATACCCTTGCAAGAGAATTTCGTAAGTTAAACACCGAACAGGAATTGGTGATGATTTGCGCAGATGATGCGGTGAATTATGCAAAACCTACCCTATCTAATGCATTGGTTGGGAAAAAAGCACCTGAACAAATTGGTTTAGGCGATGCTGAAAAGATGAGTACCCAACTGAACATGCGGATTGAAAAAGAGACATGGGTTAAAAGTATTGATGCAGAGAAACATGAATTAACCCTTGAAAAAGATGGACAACCTTCAACTCAAGGCTACTCAAAACTTATTCTTGCCGTGGGCGCAAATCCAATTCGATTAGCGATTGCTGGGGATGGAAGTGATGATATTCATGTGGTTAACTCACTAATTGACTATCGTGCATTCCGTGAAACTTTAGACAATTGCAGCACGGGTGAATGTGGCAACAAACGTGTGGTAATTTTAGGCGCAGGCTTAATTGGTTGTGAATTTGCCAATGACTTACAAAATACTGGGCATCAGGTTACGGTGATCGACTTAGCACCACAACCTTTAGGGCGTTTATTGCCTAATCATGTTGCACAAGCATTTAAAGACAATCTTGAACAATCAGGAATTAAATTTGCCTTGGGTACCACTGTAGAAAAAGTTTCTAAATCTGAGCGTGGTTATATCGTTTCATTGGCCAGTGGTCAGTCCTTGCTCGCGGATGTTGTGCTTTCTGCAATTGGCTTACAACCTAATATTGCCTTGGCTAAAGCTACGGAAATCAACACCAGTCGTGGTGTCATTACCAATACCTTGCTCGAAACCAGTCAAGCAGATATTTTTGCCATCGGTGACTGTGCCGAAGTGAATGGAACACTCTTGCCATTTGTCATGCCAATCATGCAACAAGCGCGTGCATTAGCCAAAACCTTGAGTGGACAAACCACCACTGTACACTACCCTGCAATGCCAGTCGCGGTGAAAACCCCAGCTGCACCTTTGACTGTACTTCCTGCTCCAATTGATGTAGATGTTACATGGGAGAATGAAGAGTTTGAAGATGGGATGTTATCTAAAGCAACAGATGCTGAAGGTATCTTACGTGGTTTTGTATTGTTAGGTGCAACTGCTGGAAAACAGCGTTTAACATTAACAAAACTGGTTCCAGACTTGATTCCTGCATCCGTTTAAGGTTTTAATAGCAAGGATATTTTTTAATCAAAGAATATCCTTGCTTAGGAAAATAACAATGAATAGCGCACTTCAATTTCAAGTTTCACCTTATGCCTCGTTCATGAATGAAACCAAAGTCGATTTAGGTAATGGTATTCAACTTCATGTTGAAACTGGAGGGAATCCACAACACCCGACCATTCTGTTGATTATGGGTTTGGGTGCGCAAATGTTATTTTGGCCTGATTTTTTTTGTAAATCACTGATTGATCAAGGCTTTCATGTGATTCGCTTTGATAATCGTGATATTGGCTTATCTTCAAAAATTCGCCACCAAGGTCCACGTTTAAACTCTTATAAGCTGATGGGTCGCTTTGCTTTGGGCTTACCAAATGACGGCGCGCCTTATAACTTATTTGATATGGCGGATGATGTTGCATTATTGATTGATCGTTTAGGCATTGAAAAACCACATATTTTGGGTGCTTCAATGGGTGGTATGATTTCTCAAATTTTAGCTGCAAAATATCCTGAGAAAATTGATAAAGTCGGCTTACTCTTTACCAGTAATAATCAACCTTTGCTACCTCCACCATTTCCAAAACAACTCTTTAGTCTCATTGGTAAACCTGAATCACGTGATGAAGAAGGAATTGTGAATCATTCCTTGAAGGTTTTTCATATGATTGGTTCACCTGGTTATATCAACCAAGTTGAAGCAATTCAAACTGCACGTAAATTATATCGTCGTAGTTATCACCCAGCGGGTGTACTTCAACAGTTTTTAGCAATATTATGTACAGGTTCCTTACTTAAATTGGATAAGCAGATCAAAAAGCCAACTTTAGTGTTACATGGCTCTAAAGATCGGTTACTACCTCCAAGTCATGGTAAGGCAGTTGCTAAAGCAATTTCAGGCGCTAAATTTGAATTAATTGAGGGAATGGGGCATGATATCCCACCGCATTTTGTTCCTCAACTTAGCGGGTTATTTGCACATCATTTTAAATCATAAGCATTAGGACACTATGGCTGCATTACCATCCCTAAGACAGTTGTCATATTTAGTGACACTGTCTGAGACGCTGCACTTCACTGAAGCAGCGCGCCGTTCGTTTGTAACTCAATCTACTTTATCTGGTGGAATCATGGAGTTAGAACGTTTATTGGGTGGCGTACTCGTAGAACGTGATCGCCAAAACGTACGTTTAACTCCTCTAGGTGAGCAAGTTGTTGCCCGAGCCCGTGTTCTACTCGCCGATGCTCAGGACTTGATGCGGTTAAGTCGAGAAATGAGTGAACCGTTAACTGGTGATTTGCATTTAGGGATTATTCCAACCATCGCCCCTTTCATTTTGTCGCAGCTTTTGGAAGAAGTGCATAAACAACTTCCAAAAATTCAGTTGCATCTGCATGAAGCACAAAGTGAAAAAATTGTTGAAAAACTTGAGCATGGCAATCTAGATGTGATCATGCTAGCTTTACCATTCGACACACGTGGTTTGAAAGTTGCTGAAATTGCGAAAGAAGATTTATTCTTAGTCTGCAATAAAGCAGATCAAAATGCGATGAATGCAAGAAGCTTAGATGATTTAGATCTTTCTCATCTCATGCTCCTTGAAGAAGGTCATTGCTTACGTGATCATACCTTAAGTGTTTGCCCAATCGGTGAGCGTAAAAATGATCACCGTTTAAAAGCGAGCTCATTGCCAACTTTAGTGGAAATGGTCAGTTCAAACTTAGGCTATACACTGCTTCCTGAGATTGCAATTCATGCACATATGCTGAAAAACAATGATCAGATTGTGGTTAAACCTATTGAGAATGCACCATCACGTACTCTGGCTTTAGTTACACGTAAAAGTACACCGCTACAAAGTGAATTTGATGTGTTGGTACAAATTCTTCAAAAAATCACGCCAAATTTACGTTAATTTTCCGATACTAAAAGGAGTCATGATTGACTCCTTTTTTATTGAAATGTCTAAAAAGACTATAGATCACATCAGCATAAGCAAAATTACAACGATCTTGTTTTTACTAGATCAAGAATGATAATATTTGAGCAGTACAAAATACTCGCTTATTTTTGTATGTATTGTTACGATAAAAATCGCGAAAAATCGACCTATCCTCAGCTTGTTTTTTAAAAGCATGCATCCATCTCGTCGACACATATCCAATTCTTCGCATTGGTCAGCGTTCCACAGGGCTTGAATCTTTCGAGCATCGTTAACAGGTTTCCACAGTTTTCTGTGCCTGAATTTTCGATAGGACGCGTATGAACCGACCTTTATATATTATTTTTTCAACGATTGTCTTAGATGCAATTGGCATTGGCATCATATTCCCTCTGCTTCCCTCACTACTGAAAGACCTAAGCCATCAGTATAACGTTGCCTTGTTAATGGGGGTTTTCCTAAGCCTGTATGCGCTTATGCAATTTATTTTCTCCCCGATCTTAGGTGCTTTGAGTGACCGTATCGGTCGAAGACCTGTTCTGCTGATTTCACTTGCGGGTTCTGCAATCAACTATTTGTTTCTTGCTTGCTCACCCTCTCTTATCTTGCTGTTCATTGGACGGATCATTGCTGGAATAAGTAGTGCCAATATGCCCGTGGCTTCAGCCTATATCGTTGATACCACGTCAGAAGAAAATCGAGCAAAATACTTCGGTTTAATGAACGCCATGTTTGGTATTGGATTTATTCTCGGTCCTGTACTCGGTGGATTATTGGGCGAATATTGGTTACGACTACCTTTTTTCGTTGCGGCAATTTTAACAACCGTTAACTTGCTTATCGCATTCTGGCTACTCCCTGAATCCCGAAGCAACAATCCACTCCTAGTCCCCCCTCAAGCTTCTATTTCGCAACGTTCGAGTTTAAAAATAAATCCCTTGAAAAGTTTTGGTTTTATCCTTGCTCAAAAAGGTATATTACCGATTTTGCTGATATTTTTTCTGTTTAGCGCCTGCGGTGAAGCTTATGGTGTCTCCTGGGCACTTTGGGGACACGATACCTTTAAATGGAATACATTTTGGGTTGGTCTTTCTTTAGGCACTTTTGGTTTATGCCAAGTACTGGTTCAGTCATTTATACCGCAACATGCCGTCCGATATTTTGGTGAAAGAAATACCGTGCTGATCGGTCTGGCATGTATATGTATGGCATTAATCATCATGGCTTTTACCCAACACGCTTGGATCATTTTTGCAATCATGCCGATCTTTGCCCTAGGAAGTATCGGCACTCCTGCACTACAAGCTGTTGTTTCACAAAAAATCCCAGCTGTGCAGCAAGGACAGTTTCAAGGTGTTATCGCATCAACCATCAGTCTGGCCTCGATTATTGCCCCATTGTTGTTTTCTACACTTTACTTTCATTTCCAAACACGATGGACTGGCGCTATATGGTTGGTTGTCGCGATGATTTATTTAATTGCATTACCTGCAATTTTATCAAGTTTAAAACCACAACAGCTTAAGTCATCCTAGTATTTAAGAACGTCAATGGTTTATTAAAAGCGTTGATTGCTGATTTAAAAAAGCTTAAATCTAAAATAACCAAGTCATTCAATTTCATTAAAATCCGATTGACTGATACAAAAAAGCCCGATTAATTTTAATCGGGCTTAAGACAATCAAATTATCTTGGCTTAACCATTTACAAAGTGCTCAAGCAAATTTTGTTGAGCATTGTAAATTGCCTCGCCTTCTTTAGGTTTCACACGAGTCCAAGTCCCATCGCCTTGCAACAGCCAAGCGCGGATATTATCTTTTAAGTAATTGACTAAACCTTGCTGATAAATGCGTTTTTTTAATGCTGGATCTTCGATCGGGAAACACACTTCTACACGATTAAATAAATTACGATCCATCCAGTCTGCACTTGAACAGTAAATACGTGGATTGCCATTATTTCCGAAATAATAAACACGGGTATGTTCTAAGAAACGCCCGACAATTGAACGAACTCGAATATTTTCAGACAGATTTGGTAACCCAGGACGTAAACAGCAAATTGAGCGAATAATCAGATCAATTTGTACCCCTGCTTGCGAAGCTTCATATAATTTATTGATCAATTGAACTTCTGTTAACGCGTTAACTTTAACAATAATTTGTGCAGGCTTGCCCGCTTTGGCATTGGCAATTTCATCATCAATAAAAGCAATTAACTGAGCATGTAGAGTAAACGGCGCATGTAACAGTTTTTTCAACTTTGCCATTTTCCCCATACCAGTCAATTCTTGGAAAATACGATGTACATCTTCGCAGAGCTCTTTATCTGTAGTGAGCAAACCATAATCAGTATAGATACGAGCATTTGTTGCATGGTAGTTACCCGTACCCAAATGCACATAACGTACTAACTTATTATTTTCACGGCGTACCACCAAGATCATTTTGGCATGCGTTTTATAGCCCACGATGCCATAAACTACAACAGCGCCTGCTTCTTGTAATACATTGGCAACGGCGATATTCGATTCTTCATCAAAACGCGCCCTTAACTCAATCACAGCAGTGACTTCTTTACCATTACGTGCCGCTTCTGCAAGTACCTGAACAATTTCAGAGTCAGCACCACTACGATATAAGGTTTGTTTGATCGCTAGCACTTGGGGATCACGTGCAGCTTCACGCAACAAGTTAATAACTGGTGCAAATGATTCAAATGGATGGTGTAAAAGAATGTCTTGTTTTTGCATTGCTGAAAAAATATTTTCAGACTTTTTCAATACTTTTGGAATCGCCGGCACATGCGAGTCATAACGCATATGTGGACGTTTAAAATTTGACACAAGACGTGCCAGATTTACCGGCCCATCCACTTTATAAAGTTGTTCTTGTTCTAGATCAAATTCTTCAAGCAAATATTCATAAATATGTTTTGGACAGTTTTCTGTCACTTCTAAACGTACTGCACGACCAAAACGACGTGAACTCAATTCACCTTTCAATGCTTTGGCTAAGTCTTCTACATCTTCATTCAGTGCCAAATCTGCATTACGTGTAACACGGAACTGATAACAACCTGTAGCTGTCATCCCTGGGAACAAATCCGATACATGCTCATGAATAATCGCAGACAACATCACAAAATGTTCTTTGCCGCCTGTAAGCTCATCAGGTAAACGCACTACACGCGGAAGCGAACGTGGCGCTGGTACAACTGCTAAATCAATTTGTCGACCAAATGCGTCTTTCCCTTCTAGAGTCACAATAAAGTTTAAGCTTTTATTGACCAATCGTGGGAATGGATGTGCAGGATCAAGGCTAATGGGAGTAAGCACTGGTGCAACTTGTTCTTGGAAATATTTTTTAATCCACACAGATTGTGCAGGCGTTAACTCGCCACGACGTAAAAAGCAAATGTCTTCTTCACGTAACTTAGGAAAAATTTCCTCATTGAGGATACGGTACTGACGCTCAATCGCTTCATGTGCAGTTTTAGAGATTTGGTCTAAAACTTGTTTTGGCGTCAAACCATCTGGTGAACGACTTTCATTCCCTAAAGTTAATTGTTCCATCATTCCTGCAACACGGATTTCAAAAAATTCATCCATATTACGAGAAAAGATCAATAAGAAATTCATACGTTCAAGCAAGGGATGTAAAGGATCAACGGCTTGCTCTAAAACACGTAAATGGAAATCTAAAATTGAAAGCTCACGATTTATATATCGTTCATTATAAGAATATTCTGTAGGCGTTGTTGTCGTCACTGCGGTATTCATGCAATAAACCTGCATCAAAAAAAATGTCTTAATTCTAGTATGCTTCAAATTTGTGACAATTTCATAAAAAAAGCATCGCTTCATAAAAAAAGCACATCAATTTGTGCTTTTTTAAATTCATTTATTTAGCGTCAATCTGGAATACGGGTATAACGCATATACTTCAAAACCAAACGCTTACGGTATTGAAGCTTAGAATCATCACGATTTTTTTGATAATACTTCGGATTGGTTAAAATCACTGCTAAAAATGCGGCCTGTTCACGACTTAAACTTGCCGCGCTCTTAGAAAAGTAATGTTGTGATGCAGCTTCAACACCATAGATATGATCACCAAATTCAACAGAGTTCATATAGACTTCTAAAATGCGCTGTTTAGTCCACATCCGCTCCATCATGGTGGTGGCAATCGCTTCCTGACCTTTGCGAATAAATGAGCGACGATTATAGAAGAATAAATTTTTAGCCAATTGTTGAGAGATCGTTGAACCACCGGCGACTACTTTGTCTTTTTTAAGATTACGTTGTAGTGCATTTTCAATACCATCCCAGTCGAAACCATGATGATCGAGAAATTTGGCATCTTCAGCTGCGACAATTGCATGTTTAAAGTTATCACTGATCTTGTCATAGTCGCGCCATTGATGTTGAATCGGCTCAAAATCAGACAGATATGTCCAACGCATAAACATGGTGGTTTCTACATCATGAGTACGCCAATAAATTAAACTTGAGAAAATCCATAGCTGAATCATGATCAAAATACTGACCACAATTAACAAAGCACGAACAATAAAAGCTTTCATGTCAGCTGCTTACTCCGAAAATTCTGACGTTTCATGTTAAGCTGAATCTATCTATAAAAAGCTAAGCAATAGCATGTCTAAATATCAAGATCTTTCAACTTATAGCCAACCCAATTCTATTGGTAAAATAACCTTATTGCTGATTGTCATCAATGTCGGTTTATTTGCCATCCAAGTCTTATCAGGTGTCAATATTACTGACCCGACAACATTGGACGCGTTGCGTTGGGGTGCTGATTATGCACCTTTAACCTTCTTAGAGGAACCATATCGCTTATTCAGCAGTATGTTTTTTCACTTCGGTATCCTGCATCTAATGATGAATATGTGGGCACTGTATATTTTTGGTGATGTTGCTGAAAAAACTTTAGGAAAGTTTTATTTCCTTGGACTTTATATCCTTGCTGGACTCATGGGAAGTTTATTAAGTGGTTATTTGGATATTCGAAATAGCTACGAACTGCTGCAAAATTTTGATCAAAAACTCTTTCCTCATGTATCTGCAGGTGCATCGGGTGCTGTGATGGGACTTGGTGGTGCACTGACACTACTATCGTTGTTCCCACCTACCCCGAATCAAAGATTCATTTTAGATAAAAGATCACTTTTAACCGTACTTGCGATCAACTTAGCTTTTGGCTTTTTAGCCTCTGGAATTAATAATGCTGCCCATATCGGTGGGATGTTAATGGGTGCGGTCATGGCTTTGGCTTGGTATGCAACACAACGTGCCAAAATGGGTAAAGCTGCCAATATTATCATTGTGATTTTAGGGATTGCAGCAACCTATGCGGTTTATCTCTATTGCCAGCATCTCGTTGGACCACTTAGCCCACTTTGGCAACAAGCCATTGCACAAATGCGTGAGCAATTAAACTTTTAATCTCTAAAATAGCTTGTCTATGCCGCAATAAAACATTGCAGAGTACACTCAATTCAAGAAGCATAAAAAATGGCGGCCTATAGGTCACCATTTTTTAATTTACTGTCTTCACTGGGCAGTCTTTTAAGGGCTCAACTGAGATTAAACAGCCAGATAAAACCACTTAAACAAAGCGGTTTAATTCAACTCTCTTAGACTTTGCAATGGTGGGATTTCGGATAAATAGCTCAATCGGTAACGCCCAATCAATGCGCACAACACTGCCATCGAAATTGGTAAAATCAGCCAAATTTCCCAATGTAATTGCATCACCATTTCCATACGATAACTGGCAACGGCACTAATCATCTCTGCAAAGAAACAGGAAACGATTCCCGCCAATAATCCAATAAAGCCGATTTCAAAACTCATCATATTTTTTAACTGGCGCTTTGAACTACCAAAAGAGCGTAGCAATGCCACTTCTTTTTTACGTTCATCCATCAGCAAATTGATACAGGCAATCAGTACCAAAAAGCCAGATAAACTCACCAATACTGCCAAAACCGTAATGATTTTAACCAACACAGAAACCAAGTTTTTAATTTCATCAAAAATTAAAGAGACGTCAATAAAGACCGTATTGGAAAATTGTTGAATCAGATTAACCATCTTGATTTTTTCACTCGGCGGCACATAAAAACTCCCTAAGTAGCTGCCTGCGTTTTCATCCAACGTCTTTGGAGTAAAAATAAAGAAAAAGTTTGGACTAAAGCTTTGCCATTCCACGGTACGCAAATTCACAACTTGCGCGTCCAAATTTCCCTCAGGCAAACTAAAGGTTAAACGATCGCCAATTTTGATGCCCAATTCTTCAGCCAGTTTAGCCTCTACAGACACCTGCCCAACTTGAGTCAATTGAGCATTTCCAGCAACAATGATATTGTCTTGTGGATAATGATCTGCTTGGGTGAGATTTAACTCACGACGTAAAGAATTATTGGTTTTCACCAATTGGGCAGCAAAAGCTTGACCATTTTTTGCCAATAAGCGCCCTTTGACATTGGGATATAACGGTGTGCTTTTCCAGTGTTGCTGTGCCAATTGTTGTTTAAAAGCCTCCAGTTCAAATGGTGGTAGACCATAAATAAACTGGTTAGGCGTTCCCTCAGGCAATTGTTGCTGCCAACGCTCTAATAAATCAGTTCTCAATACAGCAAGTACCGTGATCAGACTTAAACCCAATGCCAAAGCGGTAATTTGTAATGCGGTTTGCGAAGGGGTTCGGATATAGGCTGAGAGCCTATTTTTCATTGATTTTAAAGTCTTTAAAATCATCCAAACCACAGCATATAACAAAGCTGTTAACACAATGACTGCACCCATCACCAACACAGTAAGTATCAGATTTTCGGTCAAGACCAAACTAAAAATAATCAGGCTGACTAAACCTGTAGCCATCATCCACAACATTGAACGTGCCGACTTTTCTTGTTGGCGTATCACCCGAATAGGCGGTGTATTTAACAGTTGCCACAAGCTCGGTAAAATAAATCCAATCAATACAATCGCACTGGTAAAAATTGCAATAGGCAAAGGACCAATCAGCATCTGCAACATTGAAAATTGCAACTCTAGGTTAGGAATCATCTGCAACATCAATTGCAATAATGAATAACCTAAAATCAGTCCTAAAATACTGCCAATGACAATGGCGATTAAAATAACGACGCTCAGTAACCCAAGATAAGTTTGGAAAATCTGCCGTTTCGTTGCCCCCATACAACGCATCAGTGCAATATGATCTTGGTTCTGCTGTACATAACGCTGACTGGTTAAAGCGATGGCTAAACCACATAAAAGAATCGTCAGAATATTGGCCAATTGTAAGAAAGTATCGAGGTTTTCAATTGGTTTAAGTAAGCGTGAATTGCCCTCATCTGCATTACGTAGTCTTAAATTACTTTGTGCATCTAATTCATTATCCGCATTTTGTTGATCTTGTATGGATTGATCTGTTTGTGAGTGTGTTGTTGGCTGCTTTTCAGTCAATGTGTTTTCAGTCAATGTATTGGCACTTGATGCACTTAAAGCTGAATCTGCGTCCGAATTTTGTGCAATCTTTGAATTCACATTTTGCTTTTCTTGTGCTTTAAATGTCTTAAAAAATTGCTGATATGTTGCAATCGACTCCGCATCCCCTGCCATCAACAAACGATATTCAATCCGACTTCCAACTTGAATTGCACCCGTTTTTGCAACATCTGCTTGAGAGATAATCACGGTTGGCGAAAAGGCAGAAAAGCCTAATTCTTGATTTGAATCATGTTCAATGATGCCAGTAACTTTAAACTGACCATTGGCAATTTGAACGCTATCGCCTAGGTTTAATTTTAATAATTCTTGTGCGCGTTTGCTTAGCCAAACCCCGCCACTTTGTAAGGCTTGTTTTGGCGCAATTCTTAATTCACCACGTAAGGGAAATGCTGTGTCAATGGCTTTCACATTGACCATAACAAACTGATCCTGTGTAGAGGCCATTGAACCAAAAATGGTGACATGGGACTGTTTTAATTTTAAATCATCAGCCTGTTTGATCCATTGTTGGTCAATTGGATCTGTATCACTAAGTTGTAAATCTGCAGCTTGCATTTTGGCAGCTTGTAAGGTCACTGCTTGTTTGACTTGATCATTGCTAAACTTTAATGCAGTAGTCGCACTAATGGCTAAACTCAATGCAATAATCAGCAAATATATGCCTGAACTGGCAAAACTTTGCCTAAATAAGGGTTTAAACAAGGTCAACATTACACCACCTCATTCGATTGAGGCGTTTGAGCATGTTCAATCAATTGACCATCTTTTAATTCATAATGACGTTGGCACTGTGCTGCCAATTGCGAATCGTGAGTGACAAGCACTAAAGTTGTACCGAGTTCTTTATTTAAATCAAATAAGAGTTGTTCAATTTCAAATGCAGTATGTTCATCTAAATTGCCTGTAGGTTCGTCAGCAAAAATAATTTTGGGGTCAGAAATTAAAGCTCGTGCAATGGCAACCCGTTGTTGCTCCCCACCAGACAATACTTTCGGTGTTTGTTGGCTTTGTCGTTCTAAACCAACTTTGGCCAATAAACTTAAAGATTTTTGTTCTGCGTGTGCATAATTAAAATTCTTCTGTAAACGTAATGGTAACATCACATTTTCTAAGGCAGAAAGATGTGGGAGCAACTGGAAAGATTGAAATACAAAACCAATATATTGAAGTCGAATCAACGCACGTTGTTCTTCATTTAAATGCTCAATTGATTCACCACAAACACTGAGTTGACCTGCACTGGCTTGATCAAGAGTAGCAAGGATGCCCAATAAAGTTGATTTTCCGGAACCAGAACGTCCAGTAATCGCAACCTGTTCACCTGTATAAATATTAAGATTTAGATTTTCAAAAATTGTAAGCGTTTGATGAGGTAATTCTATCTTTTGTGTAAGTTGCTGTGCAGAAATTATCACTTGTGGCATGATGGGAGAAGTTGAATCATCCTGAACCTTAGACATCATAAAGTACCTTATATGCAAATCAAAAAATTGTTAAATTTGAAAATGATGAAAAACCTAATTCATTGTTTATTTTTTAGCATAATCTGTCTGTTGCCCGTTAGTAGTTTTGCAAAAACGATCATGATTTTAGGTGATAGCTTAAGTGCGGGTTATGGTATCAACCCACAACAAGGCTGGGTTTTCTTGCTACAGCAACGCTTAAACCAACAATTTCCCAAACAACATAATGTGGTGAATGCCAGTGTAAGTGGTGAAACCACCAGTGGTGCGTTGGCGCGTTTTCCAAAACTTTTACAAAGCCATAAACCTGATATCGTGGTGATTGAGTTGGGTGGCAATGATGGTTTACGTGGTCAACCGCCACAAATGATTCAGAAAAATCTTGCGCAATTAATTCAACAAAGCCAGAAAAGCCAAGCCACGGTCATTTTATTGGGAATGAAAATTCCACCGAATTATGGTGCAGCTTATAGCCAAGCTTTTGAGAAAAACTACCAAACCCTAAGCCAACAATACAAAGTTAAAATGCATCCGTTTTTTATGAATGGAATTGCAGGCAATAAAAGTTTGATGCAAAAAGACTTGATCCATCCCAATGCAACGGCACAAAAAATTCTACTCGATAATGTCTATCCATTGATTCGAGGCGCGCTTTAAGTTTTTCTCAAAGCCGAAATGATTGCACCTGTTTACTACCCAAAATCGGATGTTGTGTTTTTAAAGACATCCGCAAAATTAAATAAACGTGCCAATAAGTGGTGAATATAGTCCAAACTCGATTCTTGTTCGGTAAATAGAATCCGATGCAACATGGGTGCAATCACAATTTCAATAATCAGTTGATTGTCGATGCTTGTTTCATTCCTTTGCTGGGCACGTTGCTGAATAATGTCTAACTGTTGAATCAAAAAGTCATAACACTTACCAGAGGTTGGCGAATCATTTTCCGCCACAATATCGCTTAAGATTGTACGCCCAACGGGTGAGGCATATTCCTCAAAATATTGCTCCATCCATGCATATAAGTCTTGCTTAAAACTCCCAAGATCCGCAGGTACACTGTCTGGATGTAAAATATTAAAGGCAACATCTGCAAGCAGTTGAGATAAATCTCCCCACCGTCGATAGATCGTAGAGGGGGTGACCCCTGCATATTCAGCAATCATCGGAATCGTCAAATCTGCCACAGCTACATTCTGCTGTAATGTTTGCACCGCATTATGAACTGCAGCTTGTATTCGTGCACTGCGCCCACCGGGACGCAAACCTGTAATCACTTTCGTCATCAGCAAATCACTACAAATCTATAAATGAAAATCTATCAATGGGTTAATGATTGAAGAACAGCTTTAATCAAAAATCATCTTAGCTAAACCTTTGTGTTTAATCCAAAATACGGTATAAAAGCTAATTAATAGCTTTTATGTACATGTTGATTATGCGCAACTCTAATTTTAATCGTCAAGTGACTTCCTATAAATTAAGCCATAATGCTGCACTGTACACACATACTTTTACCCTAATGGCCTTTTTGGCAGCCTCAAGCGCACCAACACCGTTATATCGCTTGTATCAACAACACTTCCATTTTTCTCCTGTTTTATTAACGCTTATCTTTGCCACCTATGCGTTTGCATTGCTATTAACCTTATTGGTGGCAGGATCATTGTCTGATTATATTGGACGTAAGCCGGTTATTTTTGTGGCTTTGATTTTAGAAATTATGTCCATGGGCTTTTTCTTGTTTGCATCCAATATCGAAATGCTGTTTATCGCACGAGGTTTGCAAGGTATTGCCACGGCTTTAGCCGCATCTACGTTTGGAGCAGCTTTGCTTGATCTGAGTAAAACACAGGGTTCTTTAATTAATAGTATTTCTCCAATGCTTGGTATGGCTGCGGGTATGCTAATGACCTGCATTGTTTTAGAGTTTTCGACTGTTCCATTAACACTTATTTTTGAAATACTCATTTTTCTGTTTGTATCTACCACATTTATCGCAATTTTTAGCCCTGAAACCGCAACTAAACGTGTGGGTGCTTTGGCATCATTAAAACCGCAACTGACTGTTCCAGTACAAACCCGAAAAGCACTCTTGATCGTAAGTCCAATTAATATCTCGTTATGGATGGTCAGTGGGTTCTTCCTCTCGTTAATGCCTTCATTGCTGGCTCAAGCTTTCCATGTGCAATCGGCATGGTTGAATGGCATGATGTTTATTACCCTATCAGTTTCAGGGGCTGTTGGGATTTTAACCCTGCGCAATGCGCCAACATTTAAAATTTTAGTTACTGCTGCAATTACGATTGTCTCGGGCTCAAGTGTTATTTTGCTTGGCATTCATCTGGTGCAACCAATCTTATTGTTTATTGGTGCTGTGGTGACTGGGATTGGCTTTGGTACAGGTTTTATGGGTGCAATTCGTGCTGTTATGCCCTTAGCTTTACCTGAACAACGTGCAGGTTTAATGGCCGCATTTTTTGTTGAAAGCTATTTGGCCTTTAGTATACCTGCGATTATTGCTGGATACTTTGTCAATAAAGTGGGCTTAATTTTTACTGCAGATGTCTATATTTGTATGATTATCTTGTTAGCTAGCTTGGCGTTTGTTTTTGCGTTTAAAAATAAACAGAACATCCCCTAAAGCGTGTTAAAAAGTAAAACAAAAGGCGCATTAAGCGCCTTTTGTTTTAAATCTTAGATTAAGCTGGAATATCACGAATAGATGCTTTACGAATTGCTTCTTTCAGTGCGTCATAACCATGAATTGGCGGGAACTGTGGAAATTCACGAATCACATTTTCAGGCGCATCAAATAAGAAACCGTGATCAGCTTCACCCAACATGGTTGTATCGTTATACGAATCGCCTGCTGCGATTACACGGTAATTTAAACCATGTAAAGCTTTTACAGCTTCACGTTTTTGATCAGGTTGGCGCAATTTATACGCAGTGATCATACCATTTTCATCAGTTTCTAATTTATGACAGAAAATTGTTGGCCAACCTAACTGTTGCATCAACGGATGTGCAAACTCATAAAATGTATCTGAAAGAATAATCAACTGAAAATGGGTACGTAACCATTCTACAAACTCTTTTGCACCCGGAAATGGCCCCATGTCTGCAATCACAGCTTGAATGTCATTTAAGCCTAAACCATGCTGTTTAAGAATATTTAAACGTTGAGTCATCAACACATCGTAGTCAGGAATATCACGAGTTGTTGCTTCTAATTCTTTGATTCCTGTTTTTTTAGCAAAATTGATCCAGATTTCTGGTACCAATACACCCTCAAGATCAAGACATACGATTTCCATGGGTTCTCCCAAATGTCAGTTAAAAATTTTGGGCTTATCATAGCACTAAAGTTTAAAAAGAATGCTGAAAGTTTTTACAGCAAACCCATTTCATTTGGTTATGCATAAGACTTGTGAATATTTACAAATCTGTTTTATTCATAAGCATTTTAATTAATCTGCTAAGTAGCATATTTCATTTACTTTAAAATATCTGGATCGTCAAAAGCAGCAATTCACATAAGTTGAATTGAGCTAATTTTTGCCAAAATGCTTAAATTCAAATATCTTTTGAACATGTTTACGAAAATTGTAGCTTCAAGCTAACTGCCAGGAGCAGATATGACCGCCATTCCAACCATAGATCTTGTGGACGCACTTGCGACTGAGTATGCCGACAAATCACCTTCTGAAATTTTAGAACTTGCACTTTCTCAGCAAGGTGAAATTGCAATTTCATTTTCTGGCGCAGAAGATGTTGTTCTTATCGATATGGCACACAATTTAGGTAAACCATTTCGTGTTTTTAGTTTAGATACAGGTCGTTTACACCCTGAAACCTACCAATTTCTTGAAACCGTACGTAAGCACTATGGGATTAAAATTGAGATTTGCTTTCCAGAAGCAGATGCCGTTCAACAGTTGGTCAACGAAAAAGGTTTATTTAGCTTCTATCAAGATGATCATAAAGAATGCTGTGGTATCCGAAAAGTTCAGCCACTACGTAAAAAATTAGCCACTTTAGATGGTTGGATTACTGGGCAACGCAAAGATCAAAGCCCAGGCACACGTACGGAAATTCCAGTCATTCAAGCGGATAGCGGTTTTTCTGGTGAAGGCAAACAACTGATTAAATATAACCCATTGGCCAATTGGTCAAGTGCGGATGTATGGAACTATATTCGTATGATGGAGATTCCTTATAATCCATTACATGAAAAAGGCTTTATCTCAATTGGCTGCGAACCATGTACCCGTCCAGTATTGCCAAATCAACATGAACGCGAAGGTCGTTGGTGGTGGGAAGAAGCAACACATAAAGAATGTGGCCTACACGCTGGCAATTTAAAAAAGTAATATCAGGAAAACTCATTAAAACTCATGAATTTTTATTAACTTAACGTTCATCGAAATGCTTGGATTTTACGCTTAGAAAAGTTTTATACTAAGGTTTGTTGATATTTCATCTATAGCTTGTGTTATAGGCTAGAGTTGAGTAGGCAAAGGCATGAAAAAATAGTGAGACTATTTTCAGGTTTCATCACTCAAACTGAGAAATTTTAGCTATACCCAGAATGCCAACAAAGCGCTGCATTGTTGGCAACACAAAATGTAACGATGTACCTGATGTTTTCTAACATCACATCGTTGTAAACATGGACGAATGATCAACAGACCCAAGTTACACGGTTCTATAATTCTAACAATTCACCAGCTCATAAATGAGTTGTTGTAGAAATTGCAGTGAGGCAATCCAAGACTATGCGCCCATTACACCCTATTGATTTTATTTTTTTAAATTTAGAAAAACGTCAACAACCCATGCATGTTGGTGGGTTATTCTTATTTGAAATACCAGAACATGCGCCTTCTACCTTCATTCAAGATCTTGTTGCAGATATTCGTAATTCAAAATCTATTCCTGTCCCACCCTTTAACAACCGCTTAAGTGGCATGTTTTGGGATGAAGACGAAGAGTTTGATATCGATCATCATTTCCGTCATATCGCACTACCTCATCCGGGACGTATCCGTGAGTTATTGGTTTATATTTCACAGGAACACAGTTCGTTGATTGACCGAGCTAAACCGCTTTGGACCTGTCATATTATTGAAGGGATTGAAGGCAATCGCTTTGCCATGTATTTTAAAATCCACCATGCCATGATTGATGGTGTGGCTGGTATGCGTCTGGTAGAAAAATCATTTTCAAAAGATGCTGACTCCAAAACCATTATTCCGCCTTGGTGTGTCGAAGGTAAACGGGCAAAACGTTTAAAAGAAACTAAACTGGATAAAGCTAAAAAAATATTCTCTGCCTTAAAAGGACAAGTTGAAGCAGCACCTAAGGTCACTCAAGAGCTGTTCCAAACTGTATTTAAAGAAATGGGGAAAAACCCCGATTATGTTTCAAGCTTTCAAGCGCCGAGTAGTTTATTTAATCAACGGGTAAGTTCATCACGTCGTTTCGCTGCTCAGTCTTTTGAACTTGATCGTTTTAGAGATATTTCCAAAGCCCTTGGTGTTACGATTAATGATGTGGTGCTTGCTGTTTGTGCAGGCGCGTTACGTGATTATTTAATCACACAAGAAGCTTTACCGAAAAAACCACTGATTGCAATGGTTCCAGCCTCATTACGTGATGATGACTCAGATATGAGTAACCGTATCACCATGATTTTGGCAAATTTAGGTACACATAAAGAAAGTCCTTTAGAGCGCTTAGACATTATTAAACGCAGTGTACAAAATGCAAAAAATCGTTTTAAACGTATGAGCTCTGATCAAATCTTAAATTATAGTGCTTTCGTTTTTGGTGCAGCAGGCGTGAATATTGCATCAGGACTTATGCCAAAACGCCAGGCATTTAACGTAATCATTTCCAATGTACCTGGACCACGTGAACCTTTGTATTGGAATGGCGCTAAATTAGATGCTCTCTACCCTGTTTCTATTGTTTTGGATGGTCAGGCACTAAATATCACCATGACCAGTTATTTAGATAAATTAGAAGTCGGTTTAACGGGTTGCCGTAAATCTCTGCCTAAATTGCAGAATCTTCTCACACATTTGGAAAATGAAATCCAAAAGTTTGAGCAAATTATTGCAGAGAAAAATGCAGTAGAACTTGCCGACAAAAAGCCAAACGCTCAAGCCAAGGCAAAAACGGATACTCAAGATGTAGCGAAGGAATCTGTTGCAGCACGAAAGTCAGTATAGGATTTTATAATTGATTTTAATGTTGATTTAGAGATAAAAACTTAAATTGATTCAAAAATTAAGGGGCTAATATATGCCCCTTAATCTTTAACATTACGACACTTATTTAACAGTTGATGACAGACATTAACCACCATATCTTTAGTGATTTTCACTTCTTGACCATTGTCATCTAACATAACACATGTATTTTTAGGCTGGCTTTCCAACACATGCTTGATACTACGACTGATTAATTGTTCACTTACACTCATTTTATGACCTCACTTGCTAAGACTGTGAAAGGGAGAAAGTCTTTGGCTACCTTTGTAATCTAGTATTGTGAAATCAGTTCAAAAAGTAAAATTTCAGATGTAACAACTGTTTAACGACATCCTGTTACAATTTCAACTCAAAATGATATCGTATTGCTCTTGCGTGTATAAATTTTCGACTTGGAATTTAATCACGCGATTAATAAAATGCTCTAAATCCGCGACAGCTGGGGCTTCCGCAGTTAATAGGCGATCAATCACCGATGGATGACCGATAACAGTAAAGCCACTCTTAGACTCATAAGCACGGGTATATCTTAAGATTTCTCGAAAAATTTCGTAACATACTGTCTCTGCTGTTTTCACAAATCCGCGCCCTTGACAGGTCGGACATGATTCACACAACAAATGCTCTAATGATTCACGGGTACGTTTACGTGTCATTTCAACTAAGCCAAGTTCAGAGACTTGGGTAATCTTGGTTTTTGCATGGTCACGTTCCAGCATTTTATCAAACTGATTCATGACCTCTTCACGATGTACAGCTTCCTGCATATCAATGAAGTCAATAATGATAATGCCACCTAAATTACGTAAGCGTAATTGGCGCGCAATCACCTGTGTCGCTTCCATATTGGTTTTAAACACAGTGTCTTCTAGCGTACGGCCACCGACATACGAACCTGTATTGACATCAATTGTGGTCATCGCTTCAGTCTGATCTATCATCAGATAACCACCTGACTTCAAAGCTACACGGGTTTGTAATGCTTTTTGGATATCTTCTTCAACATTGTACAAATCAAAAAGTGGACGCTCACCAGGATAGTGCTGCAAGCGGCTTTCCATACTCGGTACAAATTCACAAACGAACTCTTGCAACTTGGCATGTATTTCCCGTGAATCTACATAAATTGTTGCCGTATCATCATTGGCTAAGTCGCGAATAACACGTTGTGGTAAAGGAAGTTCTTCAAAAATCAGCGAAGGTACTGCAATAATTTTTTGTTTTTTCTGAATAAATTCCCAAAGCTTGGCTAAATATGCCATATCTTGAGCAATTGAAGCCTCTTCAATTCCTTCAGCGGCTGTACGTACAATCACTGAACCCGGCAACTTATGCTCGCTTTGAATTCTTTCAATCATCGAGCGTAAACGGTCACGTTCTTCTTCAGACTCAATCCGTTGCGATACACCAATATGACTGCCATATGGCATCAAAACAAGATAACGAGATGGAATAGAAAGGTCGGTACTCAGTCGCGCACCTTTGGTGCCCAACATGTCTTTCATCACTTGAACCGTCAGAATTTGACCAGGTTGTAATAACTCAAAGACATTCGGCGTAGGTTGATTACGCGGCCAAATCATATCATTGATGTGTAAGAATGCAGTACGAGATAACCCGATATCGACAAAGGCTGCTTGCATCCCTGGAAGTACACGGACAACTTTTCCTTTATAAATATTCCCGACTAACCCGCGTTTAACAGTTCGTTCAACAAACAGTTCGTTGACCGTACCATTTTGAATTAGCGCCACACGACATTCCATAGGTGTGACGTTAATCAATAACTCGTCAGACATAACTAAACTCAAAACATTATAAAAATTCTTTTCAGCAGTTAATTTAGTGCCTCAACTGCGCTGATCTATACGATCAAGTAACTGTATCGTTTCATGCAACGGTAGCCCAACCACATTGCTATAACTACCATTTATACCTGTCACATACTTTGCTGCAATACCTTGAATTGCATATGCGCCAGCTTTCCCCAAAGGTTCGCCTGTAGCCCAATATTCTTCCATATCATTCAGACTGAATTGTTGGAACTCAACTTTCGTACGAACCACGACACTCAATAATTGATGTGCATTTGCAACGCAAACACCTGTCAACACTTCATGTTTTTGACCTGACAATAATGTCCATATTTCAAAAGCATGCTGCTTAGATGTTGGTTTCCCAATAATTTGATTGGCAAAAAACAAGCTTGTATCTGCTGCAATAACAGTGCTTTGCGGATACAACGCCAATACCACTTTGGCTTTGCTTTCAGCCAAACGTTGGACATACTGCTCAATCTGTTCGTGTTCCAAGACAGATTCATCAATATCTGGGCTGTGGATGCTAAAATCCAAGCCCACTTGTAAAAGCAGCTCTTTACGCCTTGGTGAGCCTGAGGCCAGAATTAAATGCGCCATCTTCTTAATAAATAATAAAGAACTGGCCAGCAAAAAATACTCGAAACCAATGTTTGCCAATGACGGGTAATCGAAAAATGCGTACCTGCCATCACTTGCGCCATAAAGGTAAAGACCAAATGCGCGAGAATTGCAAACATACTAATAATCCAAAGATTACTAAATGTCAGTACACGTCTTTCTCGAATAAAATAGCGAGTTAAAAATGCAATCAGTACATAGCTCAATGCATTCATCCCCAAAGGTGCATCTAACAATAAG